CACCCCAGCGTTGATTACCATACTGCTAGTACTGTTGGGTGGGTCTTTTTCTGTTCCAGTGACCAGGGGCCACCTGAGCAGAGCTGCTCATTGACTACTGTGTTACACCAATCTTAGCACCATTCTCTGTCTCCAGCCTGGGGTTTAAAGTGTTAAAAAAATCACTATATCTGTGCTGACACCACACACTTTTTTTTCCCTGTCCTTAGTCCCTAAGTAATACAGTGCAGCAACTGTTCACAGGACACTTACACTCTTAGACATTCATTATAATTTAGAGGTGACTTCAAAGTATGTGGAGAGATATATGCTGGTTACAAGGAAATACTGCACCATTTCATACCAGGGAGAGCATTTGTGGGGTCTGGCATTGGAGCAACTAGCACCAATTCTGTGGGCTCCAGGGATTTTCAGTTGTCCGTCTTATATATGACCACAGGATTCTGTACCACAGTCATTGACATTTTTTTACCTTGTTTTGATGTTGAGTACCACAATTTTTTTTTCAGTTTACATGTTAGAAGTACTTCACTGTACTACTAATCTATTACATAAAAACAAAGGAAAGATTCTTAAGCATTGGATAAGTGTGTCAGTTTCCTGGATGTTGGTCAGACACTAGCAATATTTTAAGTAACACTATTCCTCATTTATTTCAAGTGACTAAACTCACAAATGCACAAACTGCTTTTTATGTAAAAAGACTACAGTTAGATAGGTTCTTTTATTTCCTCTATATAATCACAAAGAACAGACAGCAGTGTAGTACTCAACCCAAAATTCACACAACTCGTAAACAAGGTAGGCTTTCTACCCCCTTTCTTGTTCTAGTCTTAACTTCATGAACATGAACTCAGCATTCAAGAATTTTCTTTTGGTAGCAGGATCGGCAGAGAGGGCAGGCATGGAAAGGGGCATTGTCTCCCAAGGAAAACTCCTCCAAGGCCAGGAGGCAGGCATGGTGGAACAGGTGTGCACAGGACAGGAGGACTGTCTCACGGGGCCGCTGGCCGCTGCTTCCTACAGCTGCTTGCTGGCAGTCACCATGGAGGGAGAGTGGGGTCAGGCAGATGGAACACTCGTAGATCTCCTGGTGGGCAGCCTGCAGCACAAAGCAGATAAGGATTTGTCATAGGAGTGACTGCCCTGTCACAGTTACTCAGACCTACAGTGAGAACTATATCCCCAAACATGGGTCCTCTGAAAATGGGCAGTATATTGAAAATCTTAAATGTTGAAGATGTGAGGTGTAGAGATTATAATAAGCATTTTAAAACAAAAATAAAAATGCTGAGCATTAATAATATAGTGCCTTTTAATTAAAAATGGAAAAACATTTGACTGATACTGTTAAAATTTTAAAACATTCCCAATTTTATGTTTTAAGTTTTCCCTCCCTTTGGCTTTGAGTCACTGCAGAACCCTGTTTACTTCCCTTAGGCTATTATAGATGGAAGAGGAGGGCAGGAAGCATAGGCTTGCCCTTTTGAGTTTTCATTGTTCATAACACCCACCATTGAACTAGAACTTTAACATTTCAAAATGAAGGACCCTGATGGTCACTGAGCTCACGACAAAGGCCTGGGTGTCCCCATCCAAGGCAGACCTCACGAAGGCTCCCACCCTTTACAGACCTGTGATTGCAGTCCATTCTGCAGAGGCAGCAAGGAAGCTGGTCTGAAGCCTACCTGCACTTGGATTTTCTCCCATTCCTCCTCAGAGATCTCATGGCCACACCTTTCATCTAGCTGCTGGAGAATGCTGCGATTTACAGCCAAGCAGAGGTCGATTTCTGAGAAGAGTTCATCTATGTTGGTGTTGTATGAGCACAGGATTCGGCGGCTGATTTCTGTGAACTGAGAACAGAGGCAGAGACTGGAGCATCTGAAGGACAGGCAGAGTCATTCCTGGAGGAGGAACTTGGCGGGCTCCCTTCTCTCCAGAAGCTATCATGAGGCCCTACTGTAATGTAGCAGGAGTGCCCTCATCTCAGGACAGGGGTCCTGAGAGAAACCTAGAACAGACCAGGCCAGGCTGCCTGTTTCACTGTCCTCAGCTGTCTCCTTTTTGGGACTTTCCATTCTCCATCAGACCCCAGTTCACTGCTGCTTAGCTGTTGATTCAGGTCTTTATTTCTGTAAGAAGGTGCCCATGTCACAGGAGACTTTATTAAATAAGTATTTGCACTTTTCTCTTGCTAATCTGTCTCTTGTTGGTCTAATTCACAGGATTCCAGCTCAACGATTAAGGGAAGTGTAAAAAGGAAAAGACACTTTTGTTCTCTGCAGCAATTAGCAAGGCATGTATCTGGGACCAAAGCTGACAGGAGGGAGGAATTAGAAACTCACAGAGGACTTACACAGCACAGTATATAACTTCTTGGCACTGCTGCCAGGCATGTGGGGACTGGAGCTAGCTCTTTGCTTTGCCCATCAGCCTGTGAAGCTGTGGCTCCAGATTATAGGTGATCTTAGTATAAAGCAGAAAAGAGGAAATTCAAGCAAAGGAGGGTGGTCTTTTTACTTTTTTTTTCTCATTAAGCTCTAAGATCACAATTTGAAACACTCCTTGCCTAATGAGTTTAAAAATCTTCTCCAAGCACAGATAATCAGTTTATGGATAACTAAGATGCCCCACTACTGAACAGATCCCTTGGGACTTAGGTTAAATTCTACACTAGTAGTGTCAGTGCAGAGGCAGCATATGCATGGCATTTGAAGTACTAACCTTAAATAAGTCTCTAGTGTTCCTCTAAACCCAGTTCTTTTATAAAGGTTACACACACACACACACAAAATTATAAAAACATACAAAAACAGATTTAGGAAAACAACTGGTCTTAGGACAAATAACTTGGACATTAGATGCTGGCTGGCTGTGGCAGGGCATGCAGTCATCTCCTAATGGCATGAACAGGAGCTGCTGGATCCACAGGACTCTAACATTCCAGCACACACTAGAGTGAACTACTGACACACACTTAGGAAGGTCGGGCATTCCTGGGCAAGTTCCCCACTAGCTTTACCTACTGCCATTAACTAGACCTCAGTCTGTCTGCTTGCTTCCTGACTCCTCTGGGTATGTCTGCTGTGATTCTTTAACCTCTGTGGAGTTGTACCCTTCACAGTGACAAAAGCTTGACACTGTGCCTGCCCTTTCCAAAGATGCTGTCACACCCTATTTTAAAAGAGCAAAGTCTTATGAGTACTATATTACTTACTGGAAATATGCCTTAAACTTTAGTGGGGTTTGTATTAAGATAGTAAGGAGGCATGGTGGTGCACACCTATAATCCCAGCATTCAGAAGACTTGGGGTGAGGAATCAAAAGTTGGAAGCTAGCCTGAGCTACATGAGACCCTGTCTCAAAATGATTTTGTTGTTAGTGTTTTGCTTACAAAGTTGTATAGTGGTCTGCACCAACTCATTTTTTTTCTGTAGGTTTTCATGACTTGTTTTTTCTTAATTAGAACATGTATTAAAAATGTAAATTATTGGTCCTGTGCTTAAATGTCATTGTAATTGTGGTCTTATTTACTTAAAACATAATTGTAGGGAATTCTTCACAATTACCTTCTAGACAGAAGTTCAAATGTATATAAATGACTAATAGGATGGTACCACTTCACACAGCATTATAATTATAATTATTAAGTTTAGAAAATGAAATTTCACAGTATTTACTATTATACTAGTATTCATGAAAGCTAGGCATGACAGGCACAAGAACATACTGAGTTTATTTCACAGATACTTTTATAATTCACTAGATCAGATAGCCTAGCTCTGTTTGTTCTTAACAAGTGGAATATGTCTCTTCCACCACTGTTGCCTTCCTTGGCCCATCCTTTCCAGATAGGAAGAGAAACTCTGACCAGGTTCTTTAGACCAGGCACTCACATGTGACACCCAATCTTCATATGCTGCCCAGGTTAAGATAAACAGAGGGATTCCCACTAGGATGTTCCATAGAGAGGAGATCACGTTTTTACTCTGGGTGTCCAGTTTAGGTGTGAGTCCCTAGATCCTGGACACCATGGCTTTGCATCACCAGCTTCTAGCACTGTGCTCTGCCTTAGTTCCAGTTTGAGTTTTTAGGGATACACACACATACACACACACACACACACACTGGCATAAATGATCAGGTGAGCAGTGCAGTCACAGAGCATTTGCAGAGTTCAGAAGCCAGTCTCTTTCAGATGGACTGGGAAAGAATCACTCTCTGGATTTTAATGAGGCTATAAAGATTTGGTTTCTTGGAGCAAAAGGAAAAACATTTGCTGTTAAGGGAATCATATGAGAAAAGACTGGAAAAAATGGGTGTATCTAGTCATTGTATAGCAGCACATGATGTACCTTTACAAGTCTTTTTCCATAATATAGGTGCTCTGAGGATCTGAAAGATCCAGGAATTAGTTACACTACACCATTGTGTGACAGAAATGCAGTTGGAGCTACATGTGCAGTGCTCAGATTTCTAGTAATCATGTTGAAAAGGCTTATAAATTTACTTTTTTTCCCCACCCAAAAATCCAAAATACCATTTCACCACTTCCATTTGAATGACTTAATGGGGTATTTTGCATGCTGTTCCCCATCTCAGGTCAGACTTGTGTTTTTCCCAGAACTCAAAGCCAAGTGGCTTGTGGTCATCTGTGTTGGACTCTGATGCCTCAGAAAGACAAGCAATTTAGGAGATGAGACCAAGAAGAGCAGTCACTAGTGCCATTTGAGGCAGGAGAGGGAGCTCATTCAGGGCTACCCACAGTTCTTTTTGAAAATCTAGGGGCTTGGTGGCAGTTCACTTCACTAGCATAAATGAGGCACTGAACTCCATCTTAGGAGCCGAAAAATTTATTAGACTATAGGAGACTGGAGTTAGAGGCATACAACAGTGGCAGATGACCATCACATGCTCATCTGCTACCCACAGCATCTGGTATCCCACCTAGAAACTGTTTCCCACTCACCTGTGAGCCCAGAGAGCCACAGGCTGGCTGCTTGCAGGCCAGAGCACCTACTGCACCTGTGAATAAGACCGGAGTGTGACTGCACACAGGTGTGTGCACACTGTCCTTACAACTGATCAGTTGTGTAATTACTGACACCTGTCTAGCTGTGTCTAGCCTGTATTCTCTTGTGTATTCTTTTTGTTCTGCCACTTTAAATATTACTGTTGCATTTATTTTCTATGTGGGTGTGTACATCATGGCATGATTGTGGAAGTCAAAGGATGGCTACTGGGAGTCAGTTCTCATTTTCTACCATGTAAGTCCTGGGTTTTTACTCTAATCATCACGCTCCACAGCAAGTGTCTTTATCTGCTGAGCCATCTCACTGTCCCCACCTTAAAAACAAAACAAATAAACCCCTGTTCTCCATTGAAAAGTTTGTATTTTTAGCTTCTTTCTCTTTCACCTTAAAGGTGAAAACTCTCCTATTCTTTTAACTCCCACCCTAGAGATGCATGCTTCAATTATTACAGTCCAGAGTTAACTAGATCTTCATCCTCTGATCCAACATGAGGGTCTTAACGCTCTCACTTTCACTATCCTCTTCTGGTCCAGTTTTGAAAACACTAGGGCTCTCTGACTTAACTTCTTGGGGACATAGTTATTCTTGTTTGGCAGATTCAATGCCTCTGAGATAGACCTCCTCCCTTTATTTACTACTTATACCACAAACTTCCCATCTAGGGCAATTTTCTTTCTTTAGGGAATGCAATATTCAGTGCTCCTCCCAAGAAGACATTTTAGAATCATAACATCATTGTCCATCTGAATTCATGTCTCTCTTGGACTCTTCTTACACATAGTTTTCATTTAGATCACCTAGAATTCTAGGCTGTTTAATTTCCCCCTGATGATGCCCAGTCTTCTAGCTTATACTGAACCTCTGAGACATCTGTATGGTGCAGGTGCTGTTCCTTTGAACACTCTGTTGGGTTTCTTTGCTCCTGAGGTCTTCCACAGCATTACGAGGTGGAATACTGACCCCCCCCCCCTTTAAGTCATATTAAGGGTCCTTTGACCACTTAAGTTGGGTCTGGATTAGCTTCAGATCTGGAAAAATCCTTTTCCATTGCTACTTCAAGCTGTTCTCTTTGTCCTCTGTATTCACTTTTCTTTCTCAGTTCTAAAAACAAGATGGAGCCTACTGCACCCTCTCCACTTGTGATTTCTCTGAGACACTCCCACTGAAAGGAGAAGGAAAAGACAGCCAGGGCAGCTAGGGCCCTTCCCGTGGGAGAAAGTGCTCACCAGTGACCCCAGTGCCATGTAGAAATTCCATCCCGGAGAGAAGCTCATAAAGACTCAGGAAGTAAACAACTTAGTGACTCTGGAAGTCCCTGAAATTGAGCACTCACAAGGCCCCTCCCCCAAAGGTTATGTAAGCAGTAAGGACTGCTGTGGAGAGGAGACTCTGACTTGTCCAACTACCTACATGTTGTGTAGAGGACATGTCCATGCTGTGGTAGGCTTTCTGTGAGGTAGCTGCCTTTGAGTCATCCATCTTCTTGTAAGTAACCTGAGTAAACTCAGTGGTTCACCAAGTTGGCCTCTGGTGGTACTGTGACTTTGCTCTGTTGTTGGTTCCCTTTCTGGGATGAGAAGACACTTGTTCACATCTTCCCTGAGCAGTGTCACACAACACTCAACAGAATGTGCCGTGAGGAGAAAGACTAGAGGTACACACAACAGAATATTGGAACTGTAGTGTGGCCACAGGCCAGGCAGGCAGCTCCTTTAATAGTGCAGCTGCTCTGCTGAGAAGCGATGGGCATGTGTATAGCCGAGAAACGGTAACTCTGGGCTTCCACATGCGAATTCAGTCCTCACATTTGTACTTAAACAGATAATCATACAGTTTAAAGCTAAGTGATTAGCTCATGCTAATAATTAGAATATTACTCCAAATATCAAATCACAACAATTTAAAAGTCCAGAGAAAAGAGAAAAAATGTATTTAAAAATATTTCTGTGTTTTCATTTCATGGCTTGTCTTATCACCTGGAATACAATATTTGTGTTCCTCACATAACTGTCATCAGCCACAGCTGTTCCCACTCATAGCTCCAGACCTCTCCTCTAGCAGGCGCTCTCGACAAGACCATGCTGGGGAGCAAGAGGCCTCCCACACCCACACCTGGTCACTCCCTTCTGGGAGCATGAATTAGTGGGTTTCCCAGACTTGGTGTTCCCTCACATCTCTCTGATGGCTGGCTGCTGAGTCCCACTCTTTTCCTGTCCTTTCACTGATGCACTCTGCAGCTTACTGCTGTACTGAATGCTACCTGTTCCTGAGTTCAGGTTGCTCATTTGCTGCCAGGAAGCACTTCACTTTGAGATCCCACAGGTACCCCAAGCAGCAAGCCCAAGGCATCCTCCCCAACTCTGAACAGAGCTAAGTTTGGATGTGAGCCCAAGTCACAAGACCACACCTGTAGGCCTTTCCCCCTCAAGATCCTACATTGATTCATGAGCAAATCCTGTGGTCTGTCACTGCCTATGTATCATGGCTGTTACCTCCAGTAGCCTCTTAGGCCAGCTCCCAGCCCACCCCACTATGAGGCTGCCTACCACCCAGTGACATATTGGACCCTGCCATCATGGAGGTGGTCCAAGGCAACGGGTCCACTGGCTGTTTCTGTTAACATTCATCTGCCCACATCCCTTATTCAGAATAACCCCTTCTCTGCTCCCTCCCTTTCTCCATGTCTGCCTCATAGCACTTACTGTTCCTTGAAATTTGTTTTGTTTTGTTGAGACAGAATCTCAGTTTGTAGCTCTGGCTGGCCTGGAACCCAGAGAGGAATTCACTGCCAATCAGAGTAATATCACCTTTACACTTCCTTACTTTTTAATTTTATAAACTTCATTAGTTTTAAAGAAATTATTTTTAAACAAGAATAATTTCTTTCATATGTAATGATAGTTAAGAGCTATTACATGCATTTTATTCAATCTAAACTAAATTCACTTTATCACTTACAGGCATTACATGATGAAGTAGAAAAGTCCTTACACCATTTCTGTGGGGCTGGTTATTAAAACAGCTTGGAAACTGAGCTAGTATTTACCAGGCAGTGTACTGCCCTGAGGATCAAAGATCACAGACAGTGTTCTTCAGTGAAGAGCTCCTAAGGTAGTAGGAACACCACTGACAGTGCTGGTGACTTGGGAACCTACAAGCTCCTAGGAGGTGAGGAGAGGGCAACTGTACTGTATTTTAGAACTCAGGTGGCCAGAGCTGAGGCCACACCAGCTTTTCCCACGTCTGTGTCATTGGTCACCACTAACTTCAGCAAAAGCTGTCTGGAAGGAATCGTGTGGTCTGGCCCATGTGTTTGCTCAGTTCTGTGAATAACTGCTGCTTTTTCCTCTTCCTGAACTTTGTGTTGTGGTGACATGGGCTGAAAGTGATCTCTCCTCTGCTCACCCCGTGGACTTCTGGCTCTTGAGGGCCGGTTATCTATTTTGTGTACATTTCTTATCTCCTCAGATGAATACCATAGATCTAGGGAAGCACCTGATTCATCTATGTAAGGTCCTTAGCACTGAAAAAAGTTGACTTTAGGTTTGCAAAAGATTAGAGATGAGAACAAATATATGCCCTAAATGTATATATTTAGAAGCAGCACAATACAAATTCCTTCTTGGAGGAGGGAAAAGGTGAAGAAGAACAATGCTTATCTAGACTTTAAAGTGACCTCTGTTGGCAAAGTTCAGTAAAACACCGTATTTAGCTGAGAACCCCAACACTGATGTGAGGTTGTCAACAACAAGGCCTGCCAGGGTGTGCTTCTGAAAGGAGCACATAGAACTGCTCTTGCTCCTTAGAGTCTTAGTGTTCAGCTTAGCAACAGCAGTCTTTTCAGGGCTGGAGCTGTGGCCAGTAGGATAGTGCATGCTAGCATGTGTGAGGCTCTAGCTTAATACTGAAAAAGTCAACATACATTTCCTGACTGCTCATTGTAATCAATTCAGAGCAACTACTCAATATTTCTGAAATGTCACATTCCTGTTTTCAGAAATTCTTATTTCCTCACTTCTTATGTGAATTGATAACCTTCATAATTCAAAGGGCAAGCATGACAAGAAAACATGTTCTAGTTTTTAAACATTAATGCTTAATACTATGAATTTCACATAAACATCAAATATATAAAAATTCAATTTAGGAAAAATGAGTACCTTAACATATTTTTCCTTTTAAGTCTCCTATTTTGGATATTTGATAAATTTAATAACCAGGAGTCTGGGTCATTGATATGTAAAGCAGTTACTGGTCATTTGCAATTACTGGCTAAACATTAAAAAAAAAACCCCACTAACAAAAGCATTTAGGTGAACTCTGTCTGCTCAGGAGAGTCTTAAGTGATCCATCTCATGTCAGCAAATTGCTTACTAATGTGTTGACTTAGGGCCACTCTCAAAAGCAAAATGAAAAGCCTGGAATTTACAGCATATCAATGCATCAGTTGATAAGCTTTTACTGGTTTAATATCCTCCCAGGCTTGCAGCTTGGAGCCACTTCAAGTTAGCAACAGAATGTTTGCCATCTCTATGTGATAAAGGAAGTCAAAGGAATGAACAAACTTCAGGACCATTATGCTGTTTGGTGAGATGGAAATGAAAAAGCTAGAGAAGTCACAGGTTGGGGGTGTGTGAGAGTTGGGCCCTCAAGTCCAGCATCTGACAGATTGTTAGCCTCACCTTTCAAACAATGGTCTGGACTTTAGCTGGGGCAAAGATAACATAGTGCATTTGGAAAGTTTTAATTGCAGCAATAAAAGACTGTACCTCAATTATATGACAGATGCTAGCAGAGTTTCCAGATAAGGATCAAAGGCATCCAAGGAGTGGTCACTGCACTTTGGGCCACACTAGGCTTTCTGTACACACTGCTGGGGAATTAGCACATCAGCTTTCCCGACCTTTCCAGGTCCTTTGATCTGAGTTCTCAAGCAAGTAAGTGTACCAGGACTACTGTATCAGCCAGACAGGTCCAACACTCCCTCACTGAATTTTAATCCTGACACTCACCAATACAAAACCCAACACCTGACCTTTGCAGTTCTTACCACAAAAGTTCAGTATGCTTAATAGAACCTGCTTGTCACATTACACCACTCTGCTCTGCTTCTGTTTTGCTAGCAGCGTGCCGATGCCACTTGAAAGCCAGGCCACCTTGAGAAGAGAACTTCTTAGTGTATGGGAACATTTTGTTTGTAGAATTTAGATGGATAAAAAACAAAGAAAAGGACTTTATTAACTCTCCCAGGAAGAGAAGGAGGAAATGCAGAACCACAGTTTGTGTATAAGCAAGATAGATTATAAATCAGAACAGCCTGAGCTAACCTGATCCAGAGTACTGAAAACATTCATCTCCGTACATGAAGCATTCAAGGACACTAGCACCTCCAGTTGTTCACACTTAAAGCTCCCAAATGGGCGATTACCTCTTTCTTTTCAATTCATTAGACTTCTTTTTCTCCGCGGGGACTTTATGTTGGATCTAGGCCAGTGCTTCCCAGCAGAGCAGAGCAGAGACTTTGCCCACACACAAGCTAAGGCAGCAGTGCACAGATGAGGTCAGCTTTGTAAAGCAAAGCTGCAGCTCAGCAGTCATTCTCCTGGTGCTGCAAGTCTTTTGGTTTTTGTTTGTTTGTTGTTTTTAACTGCCATTACATGATACCAAGATAAATGGTGTTTTGTTTTTAAAGTCTCTAATTCTGGTTTCCACTGAGGCACAGGTCACAGTGGCTGCTCGCTCGGAAGGGGCCAGCTGCCACTTCTGCTTTACTGCCTCCCCAAAGCAGTGTTTACCCATCTCACTGCAGTGAGCCAGTAGATTTATTCCTCCTAGCAACTTGCAATTTCTGTTTGGACTAGAAAATAAAAGTGAATTTATATTACTCTTTGATCATAGTGAAAAGGGAGCTATATCTTAAATATGTGGGTATTTTCCAGGTTAAAATAATTGTTGCCTTCCACAGATAAAGAATTTGCCACCTCCACATTGTTATTCACTACAGCATGTTTAGTAAAATCTCCAGTTTCTGACATTCAAACCTTCAGTCTCTGATAGTTTACTGACCTGAAGTTTTGTGCAGTTAAGATTGGCCAGAAGGCATGTGAAAAAGCATAGGGCCTCCTATCTCCCTAGAATAACTTGGTATTTCTGGAATGCTACTAACTGTATCACAAAGCTAGTCTCTCACCCAAAGGAACCTTGCTAGAGCCATTGTTTATTGTGGCTTTGGAATTTGTTCTCAATGGAGTTACTACTAGGAAACCTCTAGACACACTGGTTCATCTCAAACTGGACTTGAATTTTAGTAAGCATTTTTGTCTTTGAAGACTTTCATAGGTTCAAGCTGCAGGCAGAGTCACTTAAAAAAAACTTGTAAAAGTATCAAATAAGGTCGAATGTAATTATGGGAAAAGAATAAGCTTGGGCTAACACCAAGAAAGTGAAAATAAGTTTAGAAAAGCAATTTCTTTTGAAAAAACGGGGTGGGGGGGATTCTCTGGAACCCAAACCATACTAGTAAACACATCTGGCCCAGGCTCCATCTTTCATGAACACAGAAATAGTCATACAGGAAGTGACTACCTCTCATCCCACTGGTGGGAGCTGGACTTCATAATCTGATGTGACTGGCTAATTGACTTGAAAGGGATGGGGCTTCAGGGAATAAGAGCCTTTGTTGGACTAATTACCTTTGATAGAAAAAAAAGTTACTCACATAATGAGGAGTCAGGGCCAGCAGTTACATTTTTATTTTAGACACTAATCTAAGATGTCTAACTCTTAAAGCATCTTTATATACAACCTTATGTTCAGATATTTTGGGGCTGGGGGATGGCCCAGTGGGTAAAGAGCACTTAGTTTCACATGAGGGCCTGAGTTCAATCCCCAACACCAAAGTTAAAAGCTGGACATGGATGCCTATGCCTGGAACCCCAACAGAGACAGACAGGTAGATTCCTGGAACTTGCTGATTATTCAGTCTAGCTGAAACAGCAAGTCTCTGGTGCAGTGAGAGACTGTCTCAAAGAAAGAAGGTAGAAGCCAGTATAAACAGGACACACTTTTGGCTGAGCACACAGCGGCACACACACACCTGCACACACATTCACACTACTTGCACGAACACCTGCATGCACACACTCCTGTACAAACACCTGTGTTCACATACCTGTACACACACCTGCACAAACACAGCTGTGCCCAAATGCATGCATACTTGTATACACTTGTATATACACTTGTACAAACACATATGTACACACACATATGTATACCTGTACAAACACACCTGCACATATGCACACATATACTTTTCTTTACAGCCATTCTAAATGGAAAACATCAAACTTTTTTTTTATTAAAACCATTTTTGTTAAAAAATAAAATTCTGTTCTGGCCAGGTAATGGTTTTGTTCTGGCCAGGTAGTGGTGGCACACATCTTCAATCCCAGCTCTTGGGAGGCAGAGGCAAGAGGATCTCTGTGAGTTTGAGACCAGCCTGGTCTACAGAGTGAGTCTGAGGCCAGCCTGGTCTACAGAGTAAGTTCCAGAACAGCCACACAGAAAACTATCTCAAAAAAACAAAAAAAAAATCTGTTTTTATTATTATAAAACCATATTGGACTTAATAAGGCAGTAGTATGCAGTGCCTCAGGCTGACCGAGTCTTGCACATCCACTGCTGGGCCATGCTACTAACTTCTGCAACACTTGTTACTTTCTTGATCCCACTATGAAATATTAATTTCACTACCATGATGAAAATTTTAAAAAAGCACAAGAAAATGGTTGGAACCCCTAAACATTTATATATGTGTGTGTGCTAATATTCTTTCACTAAACTTTATTTCTTATAGTTTTACTAGAAATAAAGATGGTTGCTTTGCTGTGCCCAGAACAAGTTGCTGTCCAGTGTTCTCAATCAGGTTTCCTTCCTGCTGGTCCTGGGAGGCACCCAAAGGTGCTGGACCTCAGATCCTGGCAACCTCTGATACAGTGACTTCTGTCCTACTCATTGGTTTATGCCTTCCATCTGACAAGGTATGGTGCTCAGGAAGTTGTCTTGGACCCTAGTTTCATTTAGTATTTAGATATTGAGTTTTGGCAGATTATGGTATTAAATAATGTTCTCTTGCCCTCTCCATGTGAATGGACTAAAATTCTCAATTTAGATTTTATATACTGATGTATATGGCTTTCTTCTGTTCACTAGTTGTCCATTATTTAATGGGGATTTAGCTACCAAATTTATGTTTTATATATAAAAAGGTTTGTTGTCTTTTAAATTATAAGATGGCTCTTCCTACTCTGCTAGATAGGTGTTAGAGTTGACTTGTGCAGTTTGAGGTGCATAGGCAAGCTTATGAGGTTTTTTTTTAAGAGTTAAAAGTCACATTAAACCTATCTGTGGAAAATGGACGTTTATATTTAAATGCACCATATATATTAGTCATTTTATTCAATACTTTGTGTAGTGGGTAGCCATTCCAGCTTTGATCTGGAAGTTCCAACCCCCATTGAGACTTCGGCAACTGTCACGCCTACAAGGTGGGGCCAAGGGAGGCGCCTGGAGACCTGAGATCTGGATGGGCGGCGCACTCACTCAGTTCCGGGACCTTGGACGGTGAAGGTGGGCCAAGCAGAGCTCCAGAGAACACCGCTGGACTGCGATACACCTTCCCCAGACCCCGCGACCTACCTATCCCTTAACTTGTAAGTTACGCCATTAAATAAATCTCCTTTTAACAGCGTGGAGTGGCCTTAATAATTTCACCAATATCTGGCGCTCACGTGGGGCAAATTCCAAAGGCCTGGGTGGCTCCCATCCTCAGCCTCCTCCCTGGCTAGTGGGTACCTAAACCCACCTGCAAAGTTCCATATAACCAGGGAACGCCTACATGGTTCCATTCCCGAAAAAGGGAGCAGCTAGTCCGGTCTCAGTTCCCTAGCTTAGCCCCGAGACCAGTGAAAGAGGCACTCCCCGGCTTCCTGAGTGCCGGCTCCGGCTCACACCATCTTGACTCCAGCGAGCTGCAGTCAGCCAAGATCACCAGCAGGCCCTGCTTTGGAGCTGTACCAACGCCACCTGCTGGCTGAAAAGTGCTATTACACCCTCAAAAACCACGAAAGGTAAGCATATTGTTTCAAGTAAAAGTACTTGATAATTTTACACCTTAAAATTGACTAACAAATTTTGAGTAATTCTTGTAATATGGCTGACAACATTACCTCACAAGAATTTGAAAACCTTTTTGCCTGTATGATGAATGACATCTTCCTGGAAATATACGACCTTCCTAAATCATATCTGGCCTGTACCATTTTGGCATTCATCGTAATAATTCACACAGTGTTCAAACACTGGTTTAATAACAAGAACAAAGATGAGTCATTATTGGGACTGATACAGGATTTAAAAAATAGCAATGAAGGCTTACAGAAAAAGATTCTTTCTCTGGAATCTGCTAACCAGGATTTACAGGCTTTAAAAGATAGCAATGAAGACTTACAGAAAAAGATTCTCTCTCTGGAATCTGCTAGCCAGGATTTACAGGCTTTCAAAGATAGCAATGAAGGCTTACAGAAAAAGATTCTCTCTGGAATCTGCTTTAAAAGAGAGCAATGAAAACTTACAGAAAAAGATTCTTTCTCTGGAATCTGCTTTAAGAGATAGCAATGAAAGCATACAGAAAAAGATTCTCTCTCTGGAATCTGCTTTAAGAGATAGCAATGAAAGCGTACAGAAAAAGATTCTCTCTCTGGAATCTGCTTTAAGAGATAGCAATGAAAGCGTACAGAAAAAGATTCTTTCACTGGAATCTGCTGATCAGGATTTACAAAACAGGCTTGTACCAAAAATTGATCTTATTGATAATAAATGTGAATATTTAATGGACAGAACACTAATTCTCCAGACACTATATAAGGAAGAAAGATTATCATTAATTGATAAGATAAGGTCCATGGAATCATGTGTTTCTGAGGAACATAAAAACTTATATGATTCCATGAGAAATCTGGAGTCCCTTGCCAGAGAGGAGATTCACTCCCTAGAACAGGCCCTAGGTGCTCGTTTGCAAGCCTTAGAAGAAACTCTCAGTAAACATGACAAGGGACCTAATAAGCAGAAGGGCAAGACCATAGAGGTTGTAACATCTCCAAATGGCTCTCACACAATGGCTTATCCTGTTATCATCCATGAGAAGCCAGCAGATGACACACACCCCAAGCCATATAATACATATATATTACAACCAATTTCAACAAGGGACTTTAAAAATATAAAGGAAGCAGTAGTTACCTATGGGATACACTCCACATACATAAGACAGATGTTAAACTCGTGGTCTACCTCACATAGAATCATCCCAGATGACTGGCATCAGTTAATTTCAGCTGTTCTAGAATATAGCCAGCAGCTACAGTGGAAAAGCTGGTTGAGAGAAGAGGCAAAAAATTTAGAACAACAAGGTAAAATCAGAGGTTTTGTGATCTCCCAAGATCAAATACTTGGTGAGGGATGTTTCGCTGACAGGAATGTACAAGCCACTTATGATGAGCATACAATATCCCTATGCCGTACAGCAGCTCTAAATGCTTGGGAAAAAATTCCAGAACCTGGAAAACCAACTGAGGTATACACAAAGATATTTCAGGGACCTCACGAACCCTTCACCGATTTTTTACAAAGGCTGAACACAGCTATAACAAAAGCTGTATCAGATAAAGAATTAAGAAAAGTATTAACTGAGTCCTTGGCATTCAACAATGCTAATGCAGAATGCAGAATACTCACACCATTAAAGATCAGATCAGCTCCTTTGGAAGAATGGATTCAGTATATTAATGGTGTTGAGTCTCGTAACTACAGTAATGAGGCTTGGATAGGAGAGACAAATCCCAGAGGTGAAAGAAGGCCCCGTGTTACCAAATGTTTTAAATGTGGTACACCAGGTCATATAAGTAAAAACTGTATGTGGGGTACTCCTAGAAGTAATACTCCTTTTAGGAATACTCTAAACAGGAGACCCCAACCACCTCCCGGATTATGTAGAAGGTGTGGCAAAGGCCGATATTGGACCAGTGAGTGCAGATCAAAAATAGATATATGAGGCAACCTTTACTGGCGGGAAACACCTCAGGGGGCCTCTTGCAGGCCCCCAAATCAAATGTAGTACGAACATTCCCAGTCACTGTGGAAGAAATTCCTCTCCAGGACAACTGAATAAACCAATGCCTAATGTAAAAACCAATACTGCAATGGATGATAAAACAGCTCTGATAGGTGGATCACAGTTTACAAAGAACACTATAAAACAAATATTTTGGCAGACTTCCGTAAATGAACAAAGACCAAAGCTTAGGATTCGAATTAATGGCCTGGTTCTGGAGGGCCTGGTAGACACAGGTGCAGATGTGACTATAATTACACCAAAATCATGGCATCCGAATTGGCCTCTTCAAGAGGTAGATGTCCAACTTTTAGGGATTGGCACCCTATCAAAGATAAAACAGAGTTCGAGATGGGTTGAATGCATAGGGCCAGAAGGACAGAGAGGAAGGCTGAAGCCATATGTAGCAAATGTAGCAGTAAATCTTTGGGGCCAAGATCTGTTACAACAGTGGAATACCCGGATTAAAATTCCTACACTTTCAGAAAAGGAATACAGACCAATGCATGTTTCTAGGAACAATATCATGACATGCTATAAAAATCAGTCACCAACCATTCAGGCTGTTCACAAACAGAGCACGACTGCTGTTGAACTCTCAGAAGTACCAACTGCCTTACCTTTAAAATGGCTAACTAATAAACCTGTCTGGGTTGGACAATGGCCTTTGACAAAAGAGAAGCTACAAGCTTTAGAACAGCTGGTTCAAGAGCAGTTAAATGCCCAACACATTGAAGAATCTACCAGCCCTTGGAATTCTCCTGTATTTGTTATTAAAAAAAAGTCTGGTAATTGGAGAATGCTGACAGATCTGAGAGCTATTAATAAAGTAATTCAGCCAATGGGCTCCCTGCAGACTGGGATGCCCTTGCCCTCTCTTCTACCTAAAGAATGGCCTATAATAGTTATTGACTTAAAAGACTGTTTCTTTACCATACCCTTACAAGAAAATGATAGAAAAAAAATTGCCTTCACAGTACCTAATTATAACAATTCTCAGCCAGTCAAGAGATATCAATGGAAGGTCCTCCCACAGGGAATGTTAAACAGCCCTACTTTGTGCCAATACTTTGTGCAGAAACCATTGGAGATAATTCGTGTAAAGTTTCCACAATCTATAATTTATCACTATATGGATGATATCCTATTAGCTGATCCAAAATTAGATACATTAGAAAGCATGTTTGAAGAAGTAAAAAAAGTTTTGCCTCGCTGGGGACTGCAAATTGCTCCTGAAAAAAATACAAAGAGGAGGTTCTATTAATTACTTAGGATATAAGATAGAGCTACAAAAAATTAGACCCCAAAAGGTACAACTAAGGAGAGATCGATTGAAGACTCTTAATGATTTTCAAAAGTTATTAGGAAGCATTTCCAGCTTACTGGGTATCATGGGAATACCCAAAGATGGACTACAAAATTTGGCTAATACTCTAGAAGGGGAAAAAGAATTAAATAGTCCAAGAGAATTATCAGCCGAAGCTGAGAAGGAATTGGCTCTAGTAGAAAAGACAATTCGAGAAGCACATGTGGATCGTGTGGAACCAGAACTTAAATGCATTCTTGTCATATTCCCCTCCAGACATTCCCCAACAGGTATTTTGATGCAGAGGGAAGATATTATATTGGAATGGATATTCCTACCACGTAAACCAAATAAGAAATTAAAGACTTATATAGAAAAGATCTCTGATTTGATTCAAAAAGGTAAACTAAGACTTCGCCAGTTGACAGGAATGGACCCAGGAGAAACTGTAGTACCTTTAACTAATGAAGAAATTTCATCACTATGGAAAGATAATGAATACTGGCAGAGAGCCTGCAGTAACTTTTTGGGAGAGATTAACAACTATTATCCCAAAAGCAAGAGAATAGAATTCATAAAGAAGACCGAATGGGTCCTTCCTCACATTGTACGACAAAAGCCAATTTCTGGAGTCCTCACATTCTATACTGATGCAAATAAATCAGGGAAAGCAGGATATAAATCAGGAGACTTAAGTAAAGTGGTACAAAGTCCATACAGCTCTGTACAAAAGGCAGAACTGTATGCCATTCTTATGGTACTGATGGACTTCACAGAACCCCTCAATATAGTCACTGACTCTCAATATGCAGAGAGAGTTGTTCTACATATTGAAACTGCTGAATTTATTCCTGATAATACAGAATTAACTTCATTATTCATACAATTGCAGAAAATCATCAGAAAAAGGGAACATCCTATATATATATAACACATATCAGATCCCATACAGGTCTGCCAGGACCTCTAGCACAAGGTAATGATGAGATTGATCAGTTACTAATAGGTAATGTGCTAGAAGCTTCAGAATTTCATAAGAAATACCATGTAAATAGCAAAGGTTTGAAGAAGAATCCATCACTTGGCAACAGGCTAAGGATATTGTGAAAAAATGTCCTACTTGTTCCATCTATAACCAACTTCCATTACCTGCAGGGAGCAATCCAAAAGGTATACAAAGAAATGAAATTTGGCAGATGGATGTGTTTCATTTTGCAGAATTTGGAAGATTAAAGTATGTACATCATACCATTGACACCTATTCAGGATTTCAATGGGCAACTCCTATGAGTTCTGAAAAGGCTGATTCTGTGATTACACACCTATTAGAAGTTATGGCCATCATGGGAATACCTGTACAAATTAAGACAGACAATGCCCCAGCATATGTCTCCAATAAAATGAGACAATTCTTTGCTTTTTACAATATAAAGCATGTTACAGGTATACCACACAATCCCACAGGCCAAGCAGTCATAGAAAGATACAATCGAACTTTAAAGGATATGCTAAATAAACAGCAACAGGTAACAATGACTCCTAGAAATAGACTGCATAGTGCTTTATTAACCTTGAATTTTCTCAATGCTGATGAGAAAGGAACAACAGCTGTGGAGAGACATTGGATGACAGACAAAACTCCTGAGCTAAACCAACCGGTTTATTTCAAGGATGTGCTGACCTCAGAATGGAAACCTGGATATGTTCTACGTTGGGGAAGGGGTTTTGCCTTTGTTTCTGCAGGAGAAGAAAAGCTATGGATACCAACAAAATTAATAAAAATTTGATTCGAACAGGAAAAACCCCTTGATGAGGAGAAGTAAAAGATCATCCACCAATGTGACATCTCTACAAGTTGTAAGAAAAATTTAACAATCAAAGGTTGGGGTAAGGTTCTGTTTTTGTCTTTCCAGGATAATGGAAATACCCATCTTCCAAAAATCATAAGGCCTTGGATATCCGGATGTTTACAGCAGAAAGAAAGAATCTATTGGTACCAATCTACACACGGTAAAATCTCACTGTCTAACATCTATCTCTCTATCAATCTAGAAAAGTTGTGGTTCCAATTCAATTATAAGCCAAGCTGGCTTTGGAGATGGAATTGGCTCACTCCTTCTCTAAACCCAAGCACATTGCTAAAAGAAAAGTTTGAGAGATTCTTCAGTCCCATATCAGAAGAGCCCTCTGGTGTGGGACAGAAGGAAACCAATAAAAAGGGACCATTGTCTTCTAGATTCTAATTCTCTCCATGCTTACTCTTGATTTTTCAGAATCCTTTCTTATATGCTATGTCCTCTTTAAATCCAAATCTTCCATTTTGATAACAAATAAGTTTTTCTAATAGCAATCTCAGAAGTCTCCAGAAGGAAGATGGGGCCCCAACAACAACTCTACCCAATCCAGAATGATGCCATGGTAATCATCATCATACTACACTTCTTACCAGAATTTCAGACAATCTTACCCATTACTCTAAGACTTGCTGCAGAACCTACAGTTAGTCTAACTGAGATTTAACTATCTGAGCTTTCTCACAGTACCCAACAGAGATAACATCACCCCCTAAACAGCAGGAAGCAATTCTAAGAAAACGACGCCCCTTCTCCCTTAGGTTTCATGATTCTCAGGGTTATGGATGATGGTTATAGGGTTGGGGGGTGGAAGAAAATATTAAACTCAGTATTCTAAAAAAAAAAAAGAAAGAAAAAAGGGAAAAGAAGAAATGGAATGGATAGGTATAAGATATTATGGTAGATTATTGTGTATACTAGTAAACAAATTTAGTAAAATAGCAGCCTTAAATAATTTGCACTGTAATTTGCACTGTTATGGATTCTTATATGTTGACACAAATGTAAACTATTTTTATATTCCTGTTTAAGATAATTTGTATATTGATACAAATACAGAACTATATTTGTTATAATGTACATATATTTCTACTCTTATTCAAAATATTTGTATATTGATACAAATGTAAATTTATATCTGTCATACTTTATGTATGTTCTACTTCTGTTTAGGATATTCGGTATATTGATATATATTTAAGATTATTGTCATATTGCATATCACACAACATACTCCTACCTCTGTTATAAATATTGATATATATTTAAGATTATTGTCATATTGCATATCGCACTATATACTCCTACCTCTGTTATAACATCTTGTGTATTGTCACAATTTTGAAGTCATCGTTCTTTACCATACACTCGCTTATAGACTGTTTACCTTGTTTACGTGAAGCCTTAGTCCTTAGGTTATTTCGGTAGATAAGACTTATAGATTTATAGTCACCTATGCTTGTCATCTCTATAGTTACGTTAGTTAGGTTATCCAGATTTACAGATACATAGATCAGATGGACAGGTAATCTTCAAACACTTCATAGACCTAGAGAAAATGGCATTTAAATAACTTAGAATTCTGTTGACGTGAGACACAATTGCTCCTGGCTGCACCAATTTGATCCTGAGAGAATGTTGGGCTTCTAAGACATTTCCATTTGGAAGTTTGTCTTCTTGGCACAAAATGGCCTACTGGGCAAAGAACTGCCCTTGCCTCGACAGCTGACAGTACAAATTCAATGCTGTCCTTTCTGGACAAGTGGGACACAAGGAAAGCGACCACTGTACTCTGCCAAGACAGGGTAAGATGGTCTTTCAGAATTCCTGCTTCGGAAAATGGTCTGTCAGATACTTTAGGCCTGTAGCCAATTTGAATGCACCAACAATGCTGAGAAACATTATGTGACTGTCCAGGATGCCAGCTGTCTCGGTCTACTCTTGCAAGATTCCCAAAAGTTGCTTGCATCCATCTACCATTTCTCAGTTACCGTTATATTCCTTCTCAGGTCTTTGATGGGATTGAAGACTAGCAGTTATAGTTACAACTTAGTAGATAGAACATATTAAGTATTAGATTCAGGTTCTTTAGGATAGGACACCTTTTGGAATGATCTTTGTAACATGCCATTTACCTATGCTCTATACTTCTCTGGATTTTAGTATGTGTTTCTTGCTTGATATTGTTTGCATTGGTTGTAGTTCCATCTTATCTAGGTCATTATCCCTCATTATTCCTGGACAATATTTGATAACCATTCCTTTGTATATAGTCTTGTATTAGGTTAGAACCTTCTTATTTAGACAAAAAGGGGGAGATGTAGTGGGTAGCCATTCCAGCTTTGATCTGGAAGTTCCAACCCCCATTGAGACTTCGGCAACTGTCATGCCTACAAGGCGGGGCCAAGGGAGGCTCCTGTAGACCCAAGATCTGGATGAGACAGCGCTCTCGCTCGGTTCTGGGACCCTGGATGGTGGAGGTGGTCCAAGCAGAGCTCCAGAGAACACCGCTGGACTGCGATACACCTTCCCCAGACCCTGCAACCTACCTATCCCTTAATTTGTAAGTTACGCCATTAAATAAATCTCCTTTTAACTACGTGGAGTGGCCTTAATAATTTCACCAATAACTTTGACTTTATCAGAAGAAGCCCTTCTGTGGTTTGAAGCTTCCTTGTTAAGCTTAGGATGTGACTTTTGTGAAGGGGCAATTTCCCACATTTACATCTGATTATTGTGCCTCTACAATAAATAGTTACCACATATATACCTTGACTATGGATACCCAGTAATCTAGTTTGGGTAATTTTATGTGATTTTTGTGCATTTTATCAATATACAGTATCAAACATATTTGCATTTGCACCACACACCTGCTATATTCTGTCTCCTTGCACTACTGCTAGGCAGAGACTGGCCAGAGTGCTCTAGTGCTGAGCAATCCAGGGTTACATGGTCATGGTTTGATATGTAATCGTTTTTTGTTTTGTTTTTTTAAAAGACAGGGTCTCAGCCAGGTGGAGGTGGTGCACACCTTTAATCTCAGCACTCAGGAGGCAGAGGCAGGTGGATCTCTGAGTTCTATGTCAGCCTGGTCTGCAGAGTGAGTTCCAGGACAGCCAGGGCTACACAGAGAAATCTGTCTCAAAAGCAACAAAACAAAACAAACTAAACAGACCGGGTCTCTTGCATCCCAGGCTGGCCTCTGCAGCCCAGGATACAGCTTGCCATCCTTGCTGAGGATGTAGCTGAGGATGATCTTGAAAAATTGAATCTTCTTGCCTACTTCAAGTGCTGGGATTACAGGCATGCATTGCTGTACCTAGTTTATGTGGTGTTGGAGATTGATCTCAGGAATGTCTGCATGCTGAGCTCTCCATCCCCAGCCCTAATAAGTGGCCTTTATTGTAATAAACTCCATCCTAGAGTTCTGGTACTGGTGGTCAGGATTAGGAATACATTTAGGATTAGTTACACTTGAGTATCTTTTTAGTGAAGTTGAAATACTCATGTGAGTTTCTGTTATTTTATACTTTAAATTTCTTCCCATGTTTGCTAGTTTTGTGGAAACTAATTTCAGTTACATTTTGGTCTTTAATGGCAGCAGGCTGTATATATGAGACTCTTAAACTTTAACCTGATTTCCATGTATGTGGATGCCTTCCTCCTCAGTGTTTTGAGCCTGGTGATACTTTATCTTCCAATGTCCACTTTTAAATTACTTTTCATATCAAATGCCGGTTTCATTAGCTAGGTCTGTTATTTCTCTCCTATCTGTCTGTCTGTCTCTCTGTCAGACCAGCTCTGGTCTCAAACTCCGTATCCTCCAATTTCTTTCTCCTGGAGCTGGGATCACAGGACTGGAAGACTGCCTGCTGGGGATCTGAATGTGAGTCCTGAGGCCTGGCATCAAACACCTTACCAACTGAACAATCTCCCAGCCCCACTTTTCCTTTTTTGCTTGTTTATTTATTCTGAGACAAGGTGCTGCTATTATGTAGGCTTGGGCTGGCCTTTGAATGTGAGCTTCTTTTATTTTAGCCTCCCACTATAGGCCACTAAGCCTGCTCTCATTTGTTTTTTAATATGAATTTACTTTGAACATTTTGTTTCATTTTAAGTGTTCTGCATCAATGAAATCCAAGAGTTTGTTATATAACAGGCAAATTTATCCATTATATTTGATGTCTTGCTATGCTTTAATTCCTCATCACCTTTTCTAGTCATTATCCTCTCTTGTTGCTGCCTTCCCCTTTTCCTAACTTCTGTAGGAATGTTTGTGTGTGGGGGGGCATCCATGTGATGGTCAGAAGACAACCTTGGGTTGCTTTCCAGCTTGTTTGAGTCAGGGTTTCTCCATGGCCCCCCGCACTGTGCTGGCCCTAGAACTTGTGCAGAGTCTCCAGTCTTTACTTCTGTCTCCTCATCGGAGCTCTGGAGTTATAAGTGTCCCTGCTATGTTCTCTGGTTTTTACACTGGTTCTGGGGGTTTGAACGCAAGTCTTCACACTTGTACAGTAAGCTCTTTACCCACAGAATCATCTCCTTAGCCTGACAGGACTATTTTTAAGTTATTTTATTAAAAGCAGAAAAGTCAATGAAGAAGAAATTTCTTCTTAATTTTAGTGAAATAAAAATCAATTCATGTGTGACTCTGTAATCTTGCACTACTTGCTGACCTAGCAGAATTTCTAGCTGCTTGAATCTTGGAGGACAGGATGCCTGTAGATTAGAAGTCCGTCTTCAGATGAGCTGGCAAAATTGGGAGGATCTGTCAGAGTGACTATGAGACAACCCTGAACTTTATTATTGTCCCATCTTGTACTAAACGACCTTACCCTCCTACTGACCAGTCTATCACAGTTGACAACTGCCATGAGAAGACTGGAAAGAACTATAAAAGAGTGCGCCTGGATTCCCAGAAAGCCTCTGCCTCCCAAAGAACCATCCTTTCCATTTGTTCATTTCCTCTATTTGGCGTCTGTAACCTCCCAATTCCAGCAGGCTGAGCAGATTTACACACATCACTCCCATTTCTCCTGCCTTGACTGTGCATAAGTTTCCTTGGTGTTCTGTGTTATTGGAGACACAATTTAGTAAGTTTCCTTGGTGTTCTGTGTTACTGGAGACACAATTTAAACAGAACAAAAGGACCCAGTTTGGGGTAAGAATTGATAATGGCAGTAGTTCAAAAAAAATCATAGAACACAAATTCTTATACAAAAAGTAACCCTATGGTGATGCATACTTCTAATCCATAGCACTCTAGAGACTGAGGCAGGAGGATCAGGAGTTGGAGGCTAACCTGGGCATAGAGTTAGAAGAAACTGTCTCATAAAAACAAAACTAACCAAACAAAATTTCTCTTTTTGCTTTCATCTCCACTAGCCCTGTATCTTTCTCTACAAAGTACAAAGATTTCTATTGTCTTAAACAATTGCATACCCAGATTCACCCATTTCTCATTTGTATTCTGTGTTTGTAATATTGCATACTTTGTTTTTAGCTGAATTATATATCATGAAAATATTTTCCAGCTTATCTACCTTGGGCTTTGTAACTGCTGTGCAGTTTACCCTGGTTATATTTTCTTCCTTTTTAAAATAACTATTGCTGTGGGCACAGCCCAGTATCTGTGCATATACTGTAGGATAAAATTTTAGTGGCAGTCAGCCAGTGCCAGGTTCACTAGTGGCTGTAGTCCATTTCCCCCTTCATTAGCACTGGAGAATGTTGTCAGGCTTTCTAATTCTTGCCAATATCATAGGTCAAATCGGTTCTTGTTTTAGCTTTAAATATATGGTGCATACCTGTGATAATGCATTAAGAAAATGTGCTTCTAGAATGCCCTTTAAATGTCCCTTAAATCACAAATACATTTCATGATTTGTCATTAGTCTCTGCAGTTTTTTTCTATCTATAAAGACATTTTGACAATTTTGTGTAGTTATCAGTTATTTCCTTACTGTGGGTGAACCACACTCAGAAAGGTGGCTCCCATCCCAGATTATAATATTAGCTTATAGTGCTTTCTGTTCTCATGTTCTCTTTAATTGTTCTATTAGGGATCCCAAGGGGGTTATATGGCCTGGATGTTGCCCAGCCACCCTGGGGAGGGTGCTGTACTTTGCTGAGCTCATGAATTTAATGCACCTCTCACCTGGAAACACCCCACAGCACACCAAGGGATAATGTCAGCCTGATAACCTGAGCAGCCCTTAGACCCATCAAGGTGACACCTTGGTAATGTGAAATTCACTAATAACTCACCTCACCAGTCTTCCAGAGTCCACAACATTCTAACATCTACAAATTGCAGACTGATATTTCCTAGAGTATTTCTGTAGCTCAGAGTTCTACCAAGTTGTTAAGACAGGGAGAAGCCATCACGTTGACAGTAATCATTGATTACTGTCACACAGCCTAGACAACCAAGGGCAGTGAGAAGGGTACATACCTACTGCCAATGCACTGTGTCATATCATAATCTTAATTTGCTTAAAATGGGCTTGAGGTTATGGATTTCAAATGTCTAGTGGGAAAGGAGGCAGTGATGAGGCCTAAAGAGAGACGATTTAAGATATGGCTTAGAAAACCAGCAGAGCTGGGAATTTCTGAATTCCAGAATCAATCAAACTCCCAAATCAGAGGCACTGACACAATGCTTGTTTGTGGCATGACTTTTGAGTACAACCTCATGGTGATCTGAATTATATATCTGTGTCCTTCCCTGCCCATACATCATACTCAAATGAAGCAAGACTGTCTTTGGAGGAAAAGAAGGCTGCTTGTGTTAATGTTCAGCTATTTATATGTAAAGAGCTGTTACACATAACATCCCCATGTGACTCCCAGTACTTATGGAGTATGGCTGCCCTTTGCAAATGATCACAGTGTGCATGTGACAACAGCAAGTTTACTCTCTTGAAAGGCTTTTTGAAAAAAGCCTATGAAAGTCAGTATGGAAGTTTAAAAAAAAATCTAAAAATTGAACCATCATGCACTACAGTTGTGCCACGCTTGGGCACATAGCTAAGTATCCTAAATTGCAGAACAAACATAGCTGCACAGCCATGTTTACTGCACCACTGTTCACAACAGACAAGGTAAGGAACCAGCCTGCATGTCCACCTTCAGGTGCATGAAGAACAAAGGCTTTGTTTCTGTCATGTGTACACATGAGCTGGGTCTCTCAAAACAGTGTGTTTCTTATTGTGGCTGAGAAAAACTGTGTGTCTTTCAGACCACTGCTCTACACAACAACAGTCCTCATTTTCTTCTGCACACTAACGTTTTCTAGGATCATCTTCAGAAGCCCCAAAATAAAAAGCCAGACATAACATATATTAAATATACTTGGTACTTTTCCTTTTCTCTTAAACATTTTAATTTTTTATTAGTTTGTAACACATTAGCATATCAACTAATGGGATTCAATATGACATTGTATATATATATAAAATACTCTGCTTGTTTGTCCCCCAAACCCTCTATTCCCCCTCCCTGAAACTTACTTTCCTTCCAAGTGGTCCCTATTATGCTTTCATATCATATACATATTTATAAATCTAGATCTTGTGTATCAGAGAAAACATATTTGTTTGTAATAGGGGTTATCTCGTAACATGAGATAATTTCATTTTTTGCGAGAATAAAATTACATTGTGTATGACAACCATATTTCCTATCTTCTTTCTTCATCCACCTGATGGTGGACAAGCAGGCTAGTTCCTTGTCTGTTGTGAACAGTGGTGCAGTATACACAGTTATGCAGTTTTGTCTGTTTTCTGATTTAGGATACTTAGGTATGTGCCCAAGAGTGGCACAGCTATAGTGCATGATAGTTCAATTTTTAGATTTTTTTTTTTTTTTTTGGTTTTTCGAGACAGGGTTTCTCTGTGTGGTTTTGGTGCTGTCCTGGATCTCGATTTGTAGCCCAGACTGGCCTCGAACTCACAGAGATCCGCCTGGCTCTGCCTCCCGAGTGCTGGGATTAAAGGCGTGCGCCACCACCGCCCGGCAATTTTTAGATTTTTTTTGAGAAATATCCATACTGATTTTCATAGTGGGTATACCAATAAATATTCCCAGCAGCAGCAGTAAGAGTTCCTCTTTCCCCATATCCTTACTAGTGTGTTGCGGTTGTCTTAATACTAGCTATTGTAAACAGGATGAGATGGACTATCACTATAGATTTGATTTGCATTTTCCTAATTTTGGCTAACAGTGGCTGATTTTTCATGTTTATTAGCCTTTTGAATTTATTTTGGGAACTGTTTGTGTAGTTTATTTTTACTTTTTTGTTATATAGCCTAGACACTCTCAGATGAATAGTTGGCAAGTACTTTTTCTCCCATTCTGTAGGCCGTCTCTTCACTCAATTATTTTTTAGCTGTGTAGAAACTTTAAATTTCATGCAACACCATTTATTAATTCTCAGTATTATTTCCAGAGCTGTTGGAGTCCTCCCTATGTATGTACCCTGAAGTGGTACCCTTATTTTTCTTTTAGTAGTTTCAGATATTACATTAAGATACACATTCCATTTGGAATAGAATTTCCCACAGGATGAGAGGGACCTAGCGTCATTCTTCTTGTGAAATCCAGTTTCCTAGCACAATGATTGAGATTTGTTTTCAATGTACTTTTGACATCTTTGTTAATAATTAGGTGGCTGTAGATTGTGGGTTTCTTTCTGGCTCCTCTATTCTACCCCATTGGTCCACTTGTCTATTTTTGTGTCAGCACCATGTTGATTTTGTTATTATGACTGTAGTATACTTTGAGATCAGGTATTATACCTCTAGCATTGTTCTTTCTGCTCAGGATCATTTGGCTATTTAGTGCTTCTATATTAATTTTAGGCTTTTTTCCAATCCTTTGAAGAATGTTATCAGAAATTTGATGGAGATTACATAGAATCTGTAAATTGCTTTTGCTCAAATGGCTAATTTTCACAATATTTTGTAACTCCATGTGTATGGGAAGTCTTTCCATATTATAATGTCTCTATCAATTTCTTCAGTGTTTTAAATTTTCACTATTTTTCAACTCTTTGGTTAGGTTTATTCCTGGGTGTTTTATTTTTCTGAGGCTATTGTGAATGGGACTGTTTTCAGAGTGGGAGTAATAATCTCCCATACTATTATATCTGGACCTATGTGGCCCTTAATATCTAGGAGTGTATGATTTACAAAGCAGGGTATACCAATGTCCAGTGCTTATATACTACATTCACTGCACATTCTTGGTGGACTTTTTACTTTATAAAATTGTAATCACCTTATTTATTGCTTCAAATTTCTGACTGAAGTCTTCTTTTTTCTCTTGTGAATGTGTTTAGCGTATATATGTGGGTATGTGCATGCATGCTGGTGCAAGTGTATGCCAGAGGGTGATGTCTGGTATCTTTCTCAATTGTTCTTCACCTTAATTTTTTGTAACAGAGTCTCTCATTTAACTAGGCTGGCTGGCCACTGGGCTCCCAAGATTCTCCTGTACCCACTTGGGATTACAGGTGTATGCTACTTTTGTCTGGGTGCTGAGCATCAGGTCTTCATGCTTGTGCAGCATTTTATCAACTAACCCATCTCTCCAACCCTTCAAACCTGCCTTCTCAGTTGTCAGCATAGCTTGTTCCCGGCTTCTACTTCCTTAGTATATGGACTCCCATCTTCCACTTTTAACGTTTTTTTTTTCCCCTATGAACAACAAATAGTTTGTTCTTGATTGCTAATGAAGAGCCTCAGACTACAGTGGACACAACTGCAAAAGTGCTCCCTTCTCAGAGAAGCGGTGTTGATGCTGGAATAAAATCATAAAAGCCAGAGGGCCCTTGTGGGCCTGCTATGGTTCCCAGCTCTTCCCTGCAGGATGGAAGGTGGTGCTGAGCACAGAGACCTGTCTTCATTTAATGGCTGGTCCTAGTTTTCCTTGTCACTCTTATGAGAAACTGAAAATGTGTTTTCTTACATGGAAGGAATTATTTGGAGACTTTAAAAAGCTCTAAGAAAAATGATAGAGAGGCTCATTTGTAGCCAGTAAAGATACAACAAATGTTTTCAGTGTCTGAAAAGCATTTTGAGTCATGAACAGCCATCAGGGCTGGGTCTCAGACACTACCGGGGCTCCCTTTGCTTCAGAATACAGCCTCACGAACTTCCACAACATCACTGGACTCTGAAAACAACCACCAGCATTGGGTCTTTCACATGTTCTCAGACAACATGAGTGAATCTGCTGTGTCACAACCTCATAAATATTAGTGTAGTGAGGACCATCAATCGATTGTCATGACTGCTTTATGTGACAGCAAAGTATAGCCTAGACTTTCCAAAGTCATTATATGTAAACATGAACAAACTATCCACATACAGATGGTAAATAGTTATCAAGTCATAGTTTTGCAAAAGCAAACAATGACTTTGACTTATAAGCCATATATTATTACACATTAGAAATTATAAAGGGCTTCTGGCTAAAGGGTTTTGCTTGTAGTCACAGCTTACACTTCAACTTACAAATTGAGGACCAGCCTCGGCAACATAGTAAGACTATCTCTTCAGCTTACAAATTGAGGACCAGCCTCGGCAACATAGTAAGACTATTTCAAGAAAAAAAACAAAAACAAAAAATAATCACTAAGAATACTCAGAGAATAACACTGACCATCAAACAAACCATGGACTATAATGCACAGGAGAGCACAGAAAGAGAAGAACAACTGCAGAAGACATCAGTTTGAATGGAAGCCGAAACTGAGCTCTAAAGAGAGATGTCTGAAATATGATAAACTGGCCCAAAGTGCCTATCTGCGTTTGATTCAGGGTCAGAGATAGAGATGCGGTCTAGAAGGGAGGCTGGTGTGCTGCCTTCTATGTCGGAAAGAGGAACAACTCATCCTGGGAAGTGAGGACAGACACACTCTTTCATTCAGTTAACGATCAGGACTTTACACAATTGATTTCTTCTGCACATGGCAGGGTTTGAGAAAGAATCTGGCAGTGTGGGAAAACAGGAAGCTTTTCACCCAACAGTAGGCAGGAATGAGGGATTCTTTTTAGAAATTCATCCCTAACCCAGATATTCTGGGTTCCCTATTCAGCTAGGAGAGATCAAGGTTTTTGAGATCTTTTGTTTTTTCTTGGTCAAATTCAACTTGGTAGGCAGTCCCTGTGCCTTTTGCCTTTGGGTCTCCTGCTGCCTCTGACAGCCAAAGGCACGAGCTTTTTCTAGGCCAGGCCAACCAGTACCCAGGTATCTTCTAGCCACCACCCACTGCTCCATTCTGACTTGACAGTGCAGTGTGCAAAGCCATTAGCTTAGCATCCATATCACATTTAAGGCCACTCTGCTCTTCAAGGAAACTCAGTGTTTTTCTTAGTTAAATATGAGGAACAGTAACAACCACAACATGTCAAATGTTCTGATTTACATATTCTCATAATAGTGTTGCTTGGAACAAATACTTTAGTGCCTGAAGGGGCTCTAGGCAGTCAGAGCATGGCAAACATGGCTCTGGCAGGCCTTGACCCTTCCCCCACTCCCTCTGACTTGCTAAAAACCATTAGATTACATTCCACAGATAGCTACCAAGGTCTCTTCCATTATTTGGCCACTTCTTTCTCCTGAGGCTGACTACCAAGGTCCAGCTATCAAAGTATTGAAGTCCAACAATCAAAAGAAGCCCCTCTACTTCACCTAATAAATATGCCCAATTAAAATTAAACATCTCATCCTAACACGGGGTGGGGAGGGTGCTTCCCCCTTTACATTCATAAACTACCATTTGCCTATGGGCCATGTCTGTCTCCTCTATTCAGAGGCACTCCTTTGTCCTTCCAGGACAAATACCCCTTCTTACCTCTTCCTTGTTCCCTTCCCTTCTCCCTCCTCCTCTGTCCCATCTTTGTCTCTTAGTCCCCGCCCTCTGTCCCTCTGGGGCAAATAAATCTCCTTTGTGCTGAGAACTTGGTCTTGGGGTGTCTTGTGCTGATACCAATCCCTTTAGTGCCTAGGAAAGATACTAGAAAAAAATTATATTGCGTTATAATCAATGTAGTTCTAACACAGCTGAAATGGGCTGGTCACCTAGGTAAGGGCAAAGCCACACACAAAGTCACAGACACTCCCATTTCTTCCTCTGAGGTAAATGAGTCTCTTATGAGACCAGGAAATATGTGGTTGTGATCACTCACTCAGTCTTGTGCCTAAAGCAGCAATAACTAGGAAAATAGTTAGAAAATAAGGAACTGTGTTTTTTATTAAAGGTTGTCTGTTATAGTCACCATCCTAAATAGAAGAACAAAAAGCTAAACTAAACATGTCAATGATACTTCTATAGGGAATGATAACAGCAGTGTGACTATGAGAAGATGATCCTTTTCTTTCTCTTTTTTTCCCCTGAACTAACATCTTGGCTCTCTCTTTTTTTTTTTTTTTTTTGATGTACATTGATGCTTTGCCTGCAGGTATGTCTGTATGAGGGCACTGGATCCCTTATAACAGAAGTTACAGACAGTTGTGAGCTGCCATGTGGGTGCTGGGAATTGAACACAGGTCCTCTGGAAGAGCATCAGTGCTCTCAACTGCTGAGCCATCTCTCCAACCAATCCTTTTCTTTTTTGAGATGGGGCCTTGCTGTGGTAACTAGGCTGGCCTCAAATTCCAGATTCAAGCAGTCTTTCTATCTCAGTTTCCCAGGTGTTGACTATAGGCATGGATCATTATGTCTGGCTGAGGAGTTTATCTCAGTGATCTGAGTCTGGCATGTTGTGATACTAGTGTTACCATAAACAAACACAGAATATTAGCAAACCTAAAACAAGGTACATGAAAATTAACATGAAAATTCATAAATTTCCTTGGAAAGATACTAATGTTTTCAACAAATATAAAATTTCAGTGCCTACTATGTGTTTCTTTATAATTGATTCTTAGGTCAGCAGTGACACTCACATCCCAGGTAAGGGAAAGAGCCCCAAAGCACCTACTAATGGTGGCTAGACCTGCTATGCTGGAGCAGACATGAGAAAGGTTCTCTACTTAGGGCTGGTTATTTCTAATACCTGCCAGTCCTTTCTGTTCAAATGGAGACATGGAAAACTGTTAAAAAGCACCTCTCATGTGGTGGTTTGAAAGAAAATGGCCCCCAAAGGGAGTGGCACTATTAGGAGGTGTGGCTTTGTTGGAGTAGGTATAGCTTTGTTAGAGGAAGTATATCACTGTGGGGGTGGGCTTTGAGGTCTTATAATGCTCAAGCCATGCCCAGTGTCTCAGACTACTTCCTGTTGCCTGCACAAGATGTAGAACTCTCAGTTACCTCTCCAGCACCATGTCTGTCTGCATGCTGCCATGTCCCACCATGATGATAATAGACTGAACCTCTGAACTGTAAGCCACCCCAATTAAGTATTTTCCTTCATAAGAGTTGCTGTGGTCATGGTGTCTCTTTACAGTAATAGAAGCCCTAACTAAGACACCCCACATAACATAAAACATGGAAAGTAAGCATAAGCAAGCACGGACCGGAGTTGTCTATTTCTGTATTGTGGTGATCCCTACAAGGTTCAGCCAGCTACCAGGAGATGTTAGTGAGGTCTCTATTTTCACTCATGTTGTAGGCATAACTGGGGCCTCTTAGAGTTGAAAAACTCAAGTTTGTCTTATTTTATCACAAGATGGTACCATCAAACAGCATAAAATCGTCAAACCAAAGCTGATCTGAATGTCATTTTTTCATGCAATGAGGTTGGAGGCCACTAAGTTGAGCAGAAAGCTCTAAAAGTGAAGTCAGCAGCAGTTGCACTGCCTGTTGGCTTACTAGTCCCTAATATTCACCCACATAGACCATGTGTGTGTGGATAGGTAGTGATACACACCCACCTTTTCCTCAAAGAACTTTCTCCTTAACTTGGCATCTGTAGGAGGGATTGTTTTCCTTAGGTTTCTGTACCATTTTCTAACGATGTACCCTCTCCAGTAGGCTTGGATTCTAAAACAGAGATGTAGAAATGATGACCGCCTAATAGCCTTATTTTTAAATTAAAAATTATTTTATTATGCATATGAATGTTTTGTTTGCATGAATATCTATACCACTTGTGTGCCTGGTACCCATGGAGGTCAGAGAGGACATACAATTCCTGGAACTAGAGTTACAGACAGTTGTGAGCCACACCATGTGGGTACTGGGATTGAACCTGGGTCTTCTAGAGCAGTTAGTTCTCTTGACCACTGAGCCATCTCTTTAGCCCCTTAATGGCCTTATTTTTAACAAGTATTTCAGTACTCTTCCCAGCTTGGGCTGCTCTGGTGACCTCCTGGGTTAGTAATCACAGCTTGAGCTGCAAACATTTGTCTCCCCTCTGCAAGGCACTGAGGACAATCTTACCTGGTGGCACTCTTTACTCTGAACAGGCGGGCCCCATCGTGTATCACTCTGGTTTGATATTGGTTCTTTCTACAGAGGGGACAGGTTTTTTTATTTGTGAACTTTTCAAAAGCCTGAAGGCATGCCTGAAGAAAAGGATTTCACTTAAAACTTTACAAGTAATTACTTATAAACAACATTTTTTTACTTCTAATGTAATTGTAGTATTCTTTCTCTCATAATTGAGACTCAGTCCAATTTAGATTATGAAGTGAAGTAGTTTCATCAGATGTTAACACCTTCCTCATGAAACCTGTTCCAAAAATGATTTCCACAAGAACATGCATGCAGAGACTTCAAAAACCTCTGAAAGTCAAGTGGTGTAAAGGTAAAATGCTATGTGTCAGACTGCCGTGCAAACAGCCAGCAGGAAGTAAGCTATCAGCAGCCTTGATGTGTGGTACTAACAATCTGCTACACAAACATCTGTGCTTCTGTCACACAAAATCCATGATGTTCACAACAGGATGAGCTGCAGTCTACCCTAAAGCCATGATTCCAACGACAAATGATGCTCAGGGATCACAAATGGCTCTTTCAGTGAGTAAGGGAAGGAGGCCAGGCCCAGAGTGGGATTACTTGCCTTGTGGAATACATGTGAGCAGGAAAGCAGCACCTGTCCACAGGAGAGAGCAGAGTCCTAGGTTAGTAATGTATCCTCTGGAAAAGCATCTGAATACTTGAAGGTAACATTCAGACAGCTGAGCAGTTCACACTTATATTTTTAAGTTTAATATAGTTAGTATAAGCATATCATCTAAACAAAGCCAGTGGCCTGATACCATAAAACAACACATCATGCTTGATAGTAAGCCCGTAAAAGGAGTGCCAAGGTAGACACTGCTAGGTAGGTAGGGTGGGGCAGGAAGGAACCCATCCATGTGGTGTGGACTTGGTAGAAGGAGCAGAGACACGACAAGCAAGCATCTTTTATATGGCTTTGTTCAGCTAAATTACACTCTGAAACTTAAAATCACAGCTTACTGTGACAGAATTGTGAGAGTTTTACATTTAAATAGCAAGACATCATGGAGACAAATTACATTTTTCTTTTTAAATGGAGAGCAAGTATGTTTGTAAGAAAACTTCACCCTTCTGACTCAAAATCCCCAGCCAACAGTGATGTTTTGACCTGGAAAAACAAAAAATAAAACTACTTAAACCCAGTAAGGAGAAAGGATTTTAGACCATTAGCCATGGGCAGGTATAATGGGCTGTGGAGAAGGTGTGTGGGCAGATGCATGTCCTACTGTTTTCAGTGACCATCCCCTGTGCTGTTGCTCACTCTGTACTTTTCTCAAGTGGGATTAAGGGAAGAAATCTGAGAATAGAGCTCATAAACTTCTAAAACCTTTTCTTAAAAAATATTTATTTTATTCTAGGAGTAGAGGTGTTTTGCTTGCATGTATGTCTGTGTACCACATCCATAGGGTACCTATAAAGGCCAGAAGATGGCCTTAGATACCCTGAAACTGGAGTTAGAGGTGGTTGTAAGCACCATATGGATGCTAGGAATTGAACCCCAGTACTCTGGATGAGCAGCCGGTGCTCTTAACTTGGGAGCCATGTCTCTATCTCCCTAAAACCTTTTCTGGACCCTGCCAACTGTAAGCTTAAATTTAATTAACTATTGTATTAAAATCATTGTTGGACTCAGTTATTCTTTTTAAATATAATTTTTCAAAGTCTTTTATCAACAGATATCAATCTGCTCTAAATTATGTAATTCTTATATAATTCTAATATATAATATTAGAAAATTATCTTTGAGATATCCATATATTCATTATAGGCAAACAGTTTATGGTGATAGTTACACAAGTGAGGACCAAACTCCATTTACATTTTGTCATAATTTCTGAGTTGGCCTGTTGTGAATTACCTGAGTTCTGTTCTCACTGTTAGATGGTGTCATAAGAATAAGATTACTTGAAAGTATCTTGAACTTATCCTATGGTGGGAAAATTGTTATTATTTATTTATTTTTGTGTGGGTGTTTTTCCTGCATGTATGTCTGATTTGTATGCCTGGTTCCCATAGAAGTCAGAAGAGGGCATAGGATCTCCCAGAACTAGAGTTGTGAGCCACCATGTGGGTTCTGGGAATCGAATCTGGGTCTTCTGGAAGAACAGCCAGTAAGTACTTTTAGCCATTGAGCCATCTGTCTAACCCAGAAAAACTGTTTTTAACTAAGAAGAAATCTAATAAGGGAATAATAAACGCAAGATTAACACAGTAGTATCTTTAATCAAACAAAATGACAAAGTTTTTAGTGAAATGCTTACATAACACACTGAGATGTTTAAGTTTTCATTCTTCATACAACCAGGTTAAACATGTACAGCACAATAAATGAGGTTGCTGAGGCTGGATGATTCCCTGCAGCTTTAATGATCTTGTACTCTGGCACTAAATTACAAACTTCCCTACATATGACAATTCTGTGATTCAAGGGCTGACAAATCTTCCCAGTATCCAAATCCTACATAAGATTCAGTCCTCTCGAGAACTAGAAGGAAAGTGTACTTCAAGCATCTTCACATTACTGAAGAGCAAAAATGTAATGACTGTGAACGTCCTTGCTGGTAGTGAAACAAGCATTTTTTTTAAGTCTGAGAGGTCAGGATAGCCCATGAAGCTTTGGATCCTCAGCTGAGACCCAAGCCTGGCTAAATGCTGGCTTTTCTCAGCTGCTGTCTCAGTGCCTACCATATAGAAGCTAAGGCAACACACTATGCAAAAGCCTTGAGGAAAACTATGTTTCTCCCCAGATTCTGGTTTTTTTTTTTTTTTTTTTTTTTTTTTTTTCCAGAGCCGAGGACCGAACCCAGGGCCTTGCGCTTGCTAGGCAAGTGCTCTACCACTGAGCTAAATCCCCAACCCCTCTTCCCAGATTCTGAAAGCACGAGTGACCTTGGCTCCTTGGAGCTGGCAGGTTAGTCAGGCACAGCGATGGGTCTGTGTGGCAGGCCATGAGCTTTCTATACACCAGGATGACCACCCATCTTATATTGAGAGATGTATGAACAAAGATTTTACTTTATATCAGGATTCTCCCATGAAGTCTTTGAAGATATTCAAAGCATCCTTTCATGCAAATGGCATACTTGGACTTAGTGTCACACCACTAAGTGGACACTGTCAAGTGATAGTGTTCAGCCATACACACACACTTCAGGGGTGGTAGAGAAAATGTTAAATATTTGGAAGTTACAAAGGGCCATGGAATTGGGTGGCTCACTGGCTAGTACTGGGGAAGCAGTGCTGGGCTGATCTAAAGTTCTGTCTGTAATGTACCTGGGGACGGAGCTCAAATTCTTCTTTACATATTGGGCATGGCTGCATGGAGTCCCCTTGCAGGAGTGATCTCTGCTTCACTCTCTCCCATTCATCTGATGACAGTGGCAATGGAGGAGGTGGCAAGAGGCCCAGTTTCTGTGCTACAGGAAAGATAAGACACAATGTAAACTCATGTATTTTAGCATACATAGTCACATATAATTTTTAATAGATAATCTGCATGCAGATATTCTAGAGAAGCATTATAGCAACTTTTTACAACACATAGCAAGGTGCTTTTCTATGGAGGTATGAGGGCAGTGATAACACTTGAGTTCACAATAATGATTTATGTTTTTATTATACAGACTTTGTCATCATTCTGAATGTTGAGTGATTTTTCAAGCAGGCAGGATTGATGTTTAGTTGTATAGAAGTTGAAGAATATTAATTTTTTTGCCATTTTTCTTCTTGTTTTTCACCTAATTTAACTGTCAGCCTGTAGCACTGACTTCTTCCACTTAGCCTTGCTGCCCTCACCAATGTCCTTTACAAAGTGCACATCAATCACATGCTACCTAAGCATACATTCCTTAAGTGAGAGGTTCATAAGTACCCATCACATGAGCTTATATCCCATGGGGAGACTCACTTTGAAAAGTACCTGCAACATTCCTGGGCACAGGGCTGGTAGGACTGTAAATGTAAACCACTATCTGCAAACTTCCAAATAACAGTAAAGGTACATTTTTAAAAAGTCAGCCTAGCACAGAGGGCCATCAGAAAAGCACTCTTGGTCCTAGAAAAATTCATGATAGAAGTATGAACATACTAATCTCACATGAAGTAGATATATTTTCTAGGTACATAGACTTCTATGTCTTCCCAGAAAAAGTCACAGAACAGATGCTCAACTCATGGGACTCAACAATTTGGGATGTAGAGAAAACCAAAAAGACAATGAGGAGATAGAGTGCTAAGAGCTAAGTAGCTATGAGAGCATTTGTGTCAACATGGGAGGCAAACAGCAGTTCACAAGGATGTTCTATCTGCACGAAGTTGCCGGGAAACAGTCTGCAAACAGATGTTTACCTAAGATGCTAGGAAAAGGAACTACAACCAAGTGAAGGAAACAAAACAGGAAATAACAAGGACAACAACAGAAATTCCAAGGAAACAGGAGCCAAAATGAAACCAGAACCAACAGCAGGTATAAATCCAAAATGTCTTTTCCCCCAAAGAGACATTTCTAATGAAATTGATCTAGATAAAATAAAAAGCACAAAGAGAAAATACAGAACAAGAAAGGGGAATAATCATAAAATGCATGCCCAAAGCAGGGAAAATGGCTCAGCCAGTAAAGTGCCATTCACATAAACATGGGTTCTATCACCAGCATCTGTGTAAAAGATGTCTACAGTAGTATGTGCCTACAACCCTAGTGCAGGCAAGGCAGAGACAGGAGATCCTCAGAGCTTGCTGGCCAGCCAGTCTAGGTGAACTGGTGAGTTCTAGGTTAGTGAGAGACTCTGTCTAAAAAAATAAGGTAGACAGTGACTGAGGAAGATAACTGATGCCAACCTTAGGTCTCCACATGTACATGCCTACACCTGTGAAAACATACACAAACAAAAATTCTGTTAAGAGCACCTATTTTCCAAACTCACCTAATAATATAGGTGAAATTAACTCACTTCACTAGATTTACTTCTGGTAAAAATATACCAACACTAAAACCATCAGGAGAAGAAACAGAAAGCAGAGTTGAGCCCAGAGCCATTATCCTGTCCTGAATTAGTACCTACCATCCTGGGCAATGAGCTCAGCCTTTATTCCTAGACTACTGATGGGCCTATGACTGACTATATGACTCCTACTGTCAAGGGCCAGACTCTGAACTGCACAAACCTGTATCTGTAATAACACCTCAAAGTAGCAGAGCTGAGAACAGGCTTTCTTGGAGAACACCAGTGATAAGGCTTTCTCTCAAGGTGCCTGTCACTCTTGGCTGGCTATTCTGTACTTGTAACCAAACGTGGAAACTTTCTGCTCTTTACCCCATCTACTAAACTAACAAAAGGTGGGGTACAAAACAGATGAACTGTCTGAGGAGGGAGTTTCCTTTCTGTGCTGTGCAGGTCTCCTACTACCTCCGGGTTTTGTCACTTACACAACAACAGCCCTAACCAAACCTATTTTCCATGCCTAATCATTTAGAAACCTTTTATTTCTAACTTCCCAGTGTAAAATGATCTCAGACTTACAAAAGACTATAAGAATGGTATAGAGTTCTGTGGCCTTAACGTGCTACTATTGTGATGGAAACCAGGGAAATAATGCTGAGCTAATTATCCACTGAAGTTATGCTCCCTTATCCATGGTTGCACTTTCTGGGGTTTTGGTGATTCATAGCCAACTACTATCTGAAAATATTCAATGGGAAATTCCAGAAATACTTCATAAGTTTTCAGTTTTTTGTCAATCTAAGCAGCACAATGAAATCTCACTGTCCTGTGCTTCATTCCTGTCTTGTGTGTCAGGCTGTATATGTGATGTACCCTTTGTCCCTCTGTAGTTGTCTTGGTGGTCAGACAGACTGTGGCAGTACTACAGCCTTAGGGTTTGCTGAGGCTCCCGAGCAACACAGCAGAGATTCTGGCCACTCAGGTGTGCCCAAGAGAGGAAGTGAAACGGGAAAGTTCTTGATTTCATGGGAAACAATTATATGCTGAGGTTGCCAAGGTAAGATCAAATCTTCTATCTGCCAAACTATAAATATAAAAAAAGATTCATGAGAATTTTACAATTTTTACTCCTGTAATAATTATATAGGGCTATGGTGAGAGCAGAGGCAGGAAGGTTGAGTTTAAGGCAGCTTGAACTACATAGTGAGACTTTCTCTCAAAGGAATAAAAGTTATGGCCTCAATGTATGACAGGGATCCAATTAAGATGGAAAAGGCACTAAATTTGTGGATGGTATTTAAACTGATGTTAAAGTGTTTCACCAGAAAGCACTGAGCCTGTGAAAATTTTGGGAAGGAGTCCCTTGAAATGAGGAACATCAAGGCACCTAGTTCAAGTGAGGGATCACTACACAGATTCAAGGAAAGGTTTGGGCTGAAGAGTATAAGCATCACTGCTGGGGCTATGGAGACACTGATGCCTCACCTGGAGTTGAGGAAGCTGCTTAAGGAGGAAGGACACCACATGAAGTTAGTCTTCAATTCACTGTAACAAAGCTCTTCTAGAAGATGCCAGAGGGAAACTATGTTCACAAAACACAAAGATGCAGACACATGCCTATAAGCCAAGTACTCAGGAGGGTGAAGCAGGGAGATTGAGAGTTGAAGGCCAGCTTGAGCTATCCAAGGAGATTCCCAAAGCCAACAAAAATATGCAAAGGAAGGCAGAAGAGCTTAAAATACAGAAGTACAGACCAACTCTGGCATTATGTGGGGTGCCCACAGGGCACATGATAAAGCCAGGCACAATGTACACAGCCAGGAATTCACTCACAAAAGCAAGTCACCTCCCTGTTGCTGCAACTTAAGAGAATTGCTGACAGCCATCTTGCTTATGGGATACTTCCACAAATACTCTATCTCAGAAGTGAAAAAAAAAAAAAAAACCTTGGCAGACGAAGAGTTGGCATTTAAAGCCTTGTTAACAACACACTTGGCTGTCAATATATGCCGACACAATGAAAATGTTAAGGTTGTATTTGTACCCCCATACACCATTGCTTCAGCCCTGTAAATAGGGTACCATCCAGCTTGAGGAGGCTACCTGGGGTTAATTAGCACTAAGCCAACGAATGACTAGATTAGCTTACCTAAAGTTAACGGTGGTGGTGTGGGGTCTAGAACATACTCCTTTTCGGGATCTTCCACTTTGGGGCCCTCTGTAGTCTTTCTAAGCCCAGTATCTATTATGGCTGTTGCGTCTCTTTTGAGAGGTTTTGACTTGCTTTCATTCTTTTGCACTTTTGTCTTACGAGGATCTGCTACTGAGAGATGTCCAAGTTGAAGATCATGTAAAATGTGGTCCTGTAAGGCAACTGCGGTGACTGCTAAGTTAACTTTTTTAGATGAGTGATCCTAAAAAGTAGAAGGTGGGTTTTTTGTCTTAGTTACTGGAACAGTGTGTAACATATGTAACATCTTTTAGAAGAAAACTGAGGCTTGATGCTCCACTGATGGCATATTACCAAACCAATGGGAAGGAATGCCAGAGCCATTGTACCGAAGTCAGAGTAAACCCCAGGCCCAACATCTATGTTAGAAACAAAGGAAACCTTTTCATTTAATTACTGGAGCCTTAATTATAAACCAATAAATTCAAACCTGTGTATACCTAAATAAACCCCTGCTGTTTTGCTGCAGCTAAATTAGACTCCAGGCAAACACTTTGCTCTTTGGTGAAAATTTAAAGTATTTCCTGCAGGACAAGGTCCTCTAGCCAGGAGAGGCTTGCAGGCAGCACTTAGTGACTTACTATTACCCACACCACACACACCTCCCACTCCTGTTCACAGCTCCTCACAGACACAAGATTTCTAAACTATTTTTATAACCAAAGAAGGCTCAGTTAGACTACATCCCATGAGTGAAACAATGGGTTGGTTTTGAGGAGAAACCATGGGTCGGTTTTGAGGAGGGTGGAATACCTTATTTTTTAACATGCTCAATAAGGAAACACTATGTCGTGGCTTCAACAAAGTCTAGCATCACATTACAATTCCTTCCATTCTTCTGCTGTGAACAGAAAGTGAGAGTATTTGTAAACATTGAGATCTACTAGGGCTATGGAGATGATGACAACAGGAATGCCAGCTACAGGGCAGCATGGAGCTAGCCTTCCAATTCACACAGTCATAACCCAATCCATCCCTGTCCTCTAATAGCTTACCACAGTGCTGGAAAGAACAAAGAACAATCTAGCAGCAAAAAGAAGAGTTTTAGAATGAAGTATCAGACCAAAATCAGACACTCAGTAAGTGAACAACCCTTAAAGACAACATTTAAGCCAAGTCTTGAAGAGAGAAATGAGCATGTTAGATAACATGAGCAAGAGCAAAGATGCTCAGGAAACCAGCATGGTGTGTTTGTTTTTCAGGGAGAAAGGAAACAATCAAGAAATGGGTATAGGAGCATGCTGGCTACCTTCATTTATGGCCAACACAGAAGTGGACAGAATCTGAGTCCCAACCTGCTTTCTGCTTCTTGGGGTAAGCTATCTACATCTCTGGCTCAGATTTTACATCTATAAAAAACACAAAAACACTGACATTGCAGGAATATTATAGAAAAGAAGAAAACATCCTAAGGGCTTACAAAGGACTGTTCTGCATAAGATACCCTGTAAATATTTACTGTTGATCCAATTCCCTCAAAAGCTGGGAGAAGCATTTGGTGTTGCCCCTTTTAGTTTTGGGACCATGGTGTTATACTGTTTCTTTTTGCAATATTTTTTTATCAATACCTTGAGAATTTCATACAACATTTTTATTTAATAAATTTATTTATTTCATGGTGTTATTTTTTATAAAGGCAAGAGTCCATAATATTCTACAAAGGAGAGAAACAGAGCACCTTTTAAAAAGCAACCTAGGGGATAGTATAGGGGACTCACTCTTAGAAGGGTGCTGGCAGGGCAGCTGTCTCCCAAGCGTGCAAAAGAGGCCCTCTGTTCTAAACCCAGCACTACAACATTTAAAAGGGTACAGGAAAGTGAGTTCCATAGGAACTAATGTGCGAGACACCTGATTTAAGACTAAGGAAAGAACCAGCAGCTGCTCAGATCCTTCAGCAGCCCAAATAATTTTCACGGTGCCCTCCTGAAAGTGAGTTCCATAGGAACTAATGTGCGAGACACCTGATTTAAGACTACGGAAAGAACCAGCAGCTGCTCAGATCCTTCAGCAGCCCAAATAATTTTCACGGTGCCCTCCTCCTTGTTCCTTTTCAGTTCTGGCAGGGGGCTCTAAGAAAGAAGTCTGTAGTCAATGTTCCTTGTCATGGCCTAGGCTGGAGCAAGGCATGTAAAATTCTGAAAGGTCACTACCATCATTTTCCAAGTTCAAAATGCTTATAGTTCAGCATAGACCAAGTATGCATCATACCAAAAACTGTTTAATTTCCAACAAGATTCATACTATCGTTAACCACAGGTAGCTATTTAGTCTACAATTTCACTAGTTTTTATTATGCCGTTGTGATTAATACCAAGGTAAGAGTGTTAAAAAAACTGCCTCTTTAAAGTCCCATAGTATCAGCAAATTGTATAATTTTAAAAGATACTCAAAACGTGCCAGATTTAGTCCAATTGTATGAGAAAATATAAATGGAGAAGAGGTGGCCTGTTAGTCTGGCAACAGGAAAGCGGTAAACTTAACCTCGGCCAGGCACTAACACCCACAACAGAAAACTGCCTGTTTGTAAATCTCAGCTTGCACATGTTGTACCAGGTAGGAAAACACAGCACGTTGGTGACATGGCATTTAGTCACCAATTGCTCTAAGTGGACAGAAGCAACTGATACATCAATAAAAATGCATACGAAACACGGCATATTAGTTTTAAATACTCCTGCAGAGCCTAGTGATGTCCCTGGACATGTCCCATGAGGTCCCTCATCAAACCACACGCCACGCTCAGAGCAGGCAGGACCCGCGGGCCGCTCACAGCGATCCAGACCTCCCGCGACACCCATGCCTCCCGCCCCAACACTACCCGGCGTCCTGGCCTCGCTGCTTCCCTCAGCACCCGCGCTCATCTAGGCCTCAGACATCGGGGCCGAACAAACGCACCGTCTCCTAACCGCTTCTCGTTACCATGGCAACCAGCAGCCGCCCCCCGCACTTCGGAGTGCGCATGCTCGCCGGTGCCTGGCACTCACTGCGCACGCTCGCTGGTTTGCCAAGTCCCGCTGACCCGTAGGCTGGGCCTGACAGACACCCTCTTCGCCTCACCCGCTGCGAGCGGCTTGAGGTGCGGGCGCTTGCGTCATGGCCCCGCCCCTCGCGTGTCGTCAGCGTGGTCCGTTACGTCATCGTGAGGCGCGCGCCTTGGGCGTGTATGGTGAGGCGCGCGCCGTCACTCCCACTCTTCCGAGGCTCTCTCGTGTTTGCTTCGCGTCCTTCCCGCCCGGCGCACTGCAGTCAGGCTGCTCGGTGCGTCCGGAGGGTGCGCTGACTCGTGCGGCTTCCCGCAGGGGGTTTGCTGTCGCCACCCGGCCTCCTCGTGTTCCTCTCACGATGGCTGCATTGTCCAGCCTTGGCTCCCGGTAACTGACCTGATAATCCCGGCCTGTTGTGTATCGCCGGGCGCTGGCCTTTTCACGTTCGTCCCCTCCTCTAGTGACTCCTTCCTAGCCCCAGGGTCTCTCATGGTTGCTCTGAAGGCCAAGGGGAAGGTGGAAAAGAGCTATCCCTGCGGCTGCTGGCCTCCGGGGGTACCTAACCCCTTAGCTCTCAGTGACATCTCCTACCCCTATAAATCTGCACTCCCGCGCTGTCCACAGAACCAAGCTTGAACCCCTGGGGTCTTTTAAAAGTCTCTTCTTCTTGGTCCCAAGCAGAAGTCTGTATTGATTTTTCTCCTGCCGCAAATGACAGTTTTGTTGTACATTCATTGGAATACAGATCACCTGGAAGTGCAAGGAAAACACAAGAATGCAAGATTCTCCACAAAGTAAAGTCTACAGCAGTTACTGAGCCTGAAGATTGGTCTTTTGTCGCTAAAGTTCTCAAAGTCGATATAAATCTGGTATACATGATATATCTCTGGAACAATATAATTTTAAGCTTCATTTAAAAGTTACAACGTTTTCTTGGCAATGAACTTCCTGAACTGGCTCTTACTGTTTGAAGCTTGTAAAAGCAGATTAAACTGTTTTAAAAGTCAAATTTACAATTAGTTTTAAGTTCTGAGTTTTTCACATGGTAGTTGAGGAATTTTTGAGGAAAAAGTATGATTTCAGCTATGTTACAGTGAGTGATGGATTTATAAAGCAGTAAGACCACCTTTTTGCAGTCTTAAGACAGTCTTTATTGAAGCCTAAGTGGGTAAAGCTTTGCTAGATCTGAGTTTAAACCTACACTCATTTTCTAGAGGTCTGTTTTTTTGGCAAGTCGCGTTATTTTCCTAAACTATGGGTTTCTTATTTACAAAGGAGGCCTTGCTGAATCCTGTCATTGGACATCTATGAGTTATCCCCAACAGTAGTCCTGGACGTTATTCTGTGAGTGAACATGTGGCCAAGTTAAACTAATTAGAAACTCTGGTACCATGATGATGGTGACATCATCGGGGGGGGGGAACTCAAGTGGGTTTTGGGGGGGAGGGGCAATTGAAAAATTCCTTTAATTCTTCCTACTGAATGTAGGAACAAGAAAAGACACGAAACTGCAGCTGCATCTGTTCCATTAGCACCGTGGGGCGAGAGCCTGAAGGTGTGGGGCCACCAGGTGAACCTTAGAAGGAGGATTACACAGGAAATGGCAGAACTGGGATTTGGACACGGTCCAAGATGGGTGGTGGAGTTTGAGCACAGGGCTCCAGGCTCTTGGTCTTTTCTCTTACCTGCTTCATCTATCGTGGGTCTGGTTTCCTGTTACTTGGAGCAGGAAGAATTTCAATGAAAATAGGGATTCTGTTACCACCTTAGGGCTGTGATGAAGTTAAAACATGATACTGTATGTGAATTGCTTTGGACAGTGCCTACTAATCATTTTGTTTTGAGGTATTTCTCTCCAACTTTATAAAGTTCTAAAAATAAATCCCATTTTAAAATTCCCCACCTTATCCAAATGATTAAAATTTCATGATGCTTTGCTATCTAAAAGAGGCTGGCCATTCTTCAGTTAGTCATAAAGATTTTTCTTTAGTCTTTTGACTAATTTGGAAGAATTAACGTTGTCATTATTACTTTGCTATAGATTTTCTCCTCTATCCCCTGTAGGTGGAGTCTCTTATATTGTGTGATTTTTGATCTCTTAGGACCTAAGACATAGGTTAACCTAATCTCCTGCCTCAGTGGCATGTGTATCTGGGACTACATGCATGGACTAATTTTGAAGACTAGTGGCTTTATTTTCATTTAGTTCAAAATATTAAAAAAATTTTTTTGAGTCTGGTAGCATGGTACTATGTTCTGGCCAGTGCAGATCCCTGCAAAAAGGATTCCCAGTCCCTTTATGTATCTCTTAATAACATCATGTGACTTCTAACACCCTGTCACTCCTTCCCCTTACTGTTGTGAGTACTCAGTCCTCACTCCTCATTGAACCAATGGATGGGTCTGGAAAGTGGAAAAACAGACTAGCTCTGAGTTTTTGTCCTAAATTATTTCCTTTTTTCTTCAGGGCTTCTGTGAACAGTTCCTGAAAGTCAGGTCTTCTGGTGACAGCTTCCTGAACTTTTCATTTATAAAAAAACGTTTTTAGACAGGGTCTCACTATGTATTCCTGGGTGGCCTGTAACTTGTTGTGTAGCCTAGGCTGGCCTTGTATGGACATCAGTCCTCCTGTCTCCTTCCTGATTCCTAGGAATTCAGGTGTGTACCATCATGCCCAACCTTTTGCATCAATTTTTTAAAAGAAATTCTTTGAGGTAAAATCCATGTAGAACAACATTGATCATCATAGAGTGAATAGCTCAGTGGCATTGATATGTTCGCAGTGCTATATAACTGCCTTTCTCTAATTCTAAGACATTCCTGTACTGCACACTAGAGATAATACCCACATCCATGCAACAGTGTCTGCCCATCCCAACCCCTAACAGCTGCCAATTTGTATTCTGTATCCATAGGCTTAGACTTACACAATTCATAACCTTCAGTGTCTGGCTTCTTTTATGTGGCATCTTTGAGGTCCCTTGATGTCATAGAAAGTACCAGTGCTATACATTTATATCACAGTTGATTATATGATCATATGTGGACAGACTCATGTTGGCATGTCTGTTCTTATCACTTTTGTGTCTGTGAAATCTTTGGTCAGTATATCTGACTGCTTTTCACAGCAGTTGGTGCACATTTTGTTCTCTCAAGCAAGGTCTGAGGCTTCAGTGCTTTCACATCTCTCCTAACACTTGTTGTTTTGTACTTTTGTCTTGATATTGAGACAGGCTTTCATTATTACCCTAGGCTTACTCTGAACTCATGATATTTCTGCCTCAGCCTCCTTGTGGTAGAATTTGGATATGAGCTACCATGTCTGGCTTCTACTTAAAAAAAATCCTGTTAGTTAAGAGATGGAATTATGGTTTTGTATCTCTCTAGTTACTGGTGATGTGGTATGTCTTCATGGACTAGCCCTTTGGTGGGAGGGGCCCTGATGACAAATCTTTGACTCATAGATTCTGGTTGGGCATTCTCATTCTTCTGATGGGCTACCCAAGGCAATTTTCTTTTCTGTTACGGTGTTCTCAACTTGTATTTCCTTTTGATTCTGTCTTGTTTCCTTCTCTGTACTCATATTTCCCATCTGCCCTTGCAGGTGGCTTACTTGTTTCACCAGAGCAGAGCAGGTTGCTTTATAAAGAAAAAAAGAATTTTTCAGCTTTGTGTTCAGGTTTCATAGGCATTGTGCGAGCATCAGCTTGACTCTGGAGAGAGTCTCATACCGAATGCTGTGAAATGGTAGGAGTGTCTGAGGGAGGAAAAGGCTGTGTGCCTTGACCAGAGCCATAGTGAGTCAGAGCCTGTCTTAGACTTTTTGTAGCAAACGAGCTAACTTTGGGTCCTTTGACTTTGACCACAATCCGAACCCTGTCCTCCAGGGGCCGGAGGCCTCTCCCTGTGTCGTCACTGCCACAGCGAAGACCAAGCCTTTAATATAATTGTTGGAGAACAGATAGCATCCTAACCATAGTAGCCATTATCTCATCACTCACAGTTGAAATCTCCTCTTTGTTACCTTCAGACTCTTTGCCATGGTTTTGTCTGTTGCTACCTTCTTGCTTCAGAAAGTGCATTTTTTTGCCTTCCTGCGTACACTGTCTTCCTGTTGAAAACTGGACATGTTCATTGAGTGATATGATCTGAAGCCAATAGGTTGTTAGTATGAGATCTTAGGTTTCTTAGGATAGTGTTGTTGATTGTTGGAGCAGGAAGGAGGTCAAGGTATTCAGTATCCTCTAGTCTTATTTTAGCTCTTCATGCTCACCCCACACAGTGTCTTTAGGTTTTATTTGGGATGTTTTAATGAATTCTGTGTCCTTTGGTGACTCAGCTGTAGTACAGAGATAGACATAGTTGACTTTCTCTGTTTGGTCCTAATTGGGAAGCAGGGCAAGATGCACAGGAGCTCACCATACTAACTGTATCATGGTGTTGTGTGACACTTTTCCTGGAGAGACATGAACACACATCTATTCACCTCAGATAGGGAACTGACAACAAACCAAAGAAAGAATACTCCTAAAGTCCAACTTGTGAACTGATGAGTTTTATTGGGATTGCTTACAGAGCAGTAAGGAATCAGACAGCTGTATCTCCAAAAGCCCATCCTAGCGTGGTTGACAGCTCGTGGATAAGCTCACTATACTTCCTGCAGGAGTTCAACAGGTTAGAGACTGTTTCAGGAAGCTCAGGTGTTTGTCTGAGCCTTTTTTAGACAGCTCAGCTTGTCTGAGAGTCTTCTGGTAACTTGGCTGGTCTCTGCTTGTTTCCGGTGGCTTGGCTGTTCTAAGAGTCTTCTCTCTGTAGTCCCTAGTGCTTC